AGACAGAGCTCTTGTTCTAACCCCAAGTATGTGTTTCTTTCCCTCTTTGGGCCCCACCAGATCAAATGAGGGAGAGGCTACTGCTCCCCTGTTAAATTCATAAATAAATGCCCACTGATTCCATTTCCAGTGTGCTCCCCCCACAAACACACACTTTTAAAAGAATAGCCAAGATTTCTGTGCCTGGAATCTGTGGAGTTGCTTTGTTTTTGAGTCAAGGATACACTATGTAGTTTAAGCTGGACTTACACTATGTAGCCCAGGCTGTTCTTAACTCATAACAGTCCCCCTGCCTTGGCCTTCCAAGTGAATGCTGCCCTCAGATTTGCTATTCAAGACTGACCTTCTCCTCAGTATGGGTTGGACTGCAGTGGCTGAGGTTTTGGCAGCAGGATTAGCTCAGCAGTAGTGTGTGAGAGAGACCTAGATGCCTCCTTGCATATGTGTGACTGTTTTGTCTTTGCCATTCAGCCTGGTGGAGCCAGGCATCCTAGGTGGCAGACTGTCCTCTTGAGTAAGCGAGGACATCAGCCCCCTCATTGCCTGGAGCTGGACTGCCTGGAGCATTCTAGTCTCATTGTCTTCCCCAGGACGTAATAAGCAACAGCTTCAACCTTGGCCCACCTTGAGGGCCATGCATGGCAAATTCTATGCATCCTTAAGAAAGAATCAGTAAAAGCAACCTTTAGGAAATCTCAGCCTGGTAGTACAGAAAAAGAGTAAATTCATACTCCTGGGAGCCTCTGGGCTGGGTGGGAAAGCATGAATTCTTTACAGGGGTCATCAAGAGAACAATCCCATCCCAGTCTGAGCCAGGGAGAAATGAGTAGGTGGACCCCTTAAGGGGAGTGGCGCCATCATGGGAGCCACACATTGAACTGTGGCTGATACGAGTCTTAAGAGAGACATGAGTTAGCTTGATTTCTTTGAATTGGGCACAGGGCAGCAATGTGAGTACAAGGTGGAAGAGCAAATTCTAAGGAGCTCTCCAAGGTAATAGTACTCTCTATAGAGGCTCTCTACAGAGGTGAAGGACAGGGAGTGGTAGAGTTTTTGCTGTCCGTGGTGCTGAAATTCTGAGCCTGGACATTGACCTCATTCCTTCAGTAAATACTGCTGTTTCCACCTCCTGCCATCCTCTTCTTGTCATTTTCTTTCCAGATATCAGAAAGCCACATTGCTGCCCCACAACCACCAAAGCCTCGCTTACCCTTTCATAACGATAACCAGAAAAGGTCCTTCACAGTCTTCGTTTCCCATGGTCAATGCCTTGCCAGTAAGATTATCAGAAACAGAGGGGCTAGTGAGCGGAGCATTTGAAAGTAATATAGTGGTGTTTGGAGTTGTCACAATGGTTTGAGATTTATTGGTTTTTAGTAAATTGGGAGTAAAATTGAGTCTCCTGAGATGCCAGTAGCTCCATCAAGAACCAACTTACCTATGATTACCTAGCCACAGACAAAATCATGGCTAGATTACAGGCTCCTGTCTCCCAGCCAGTGCTTGAACCACTCCAAGTGATTCCCTGAACCAGTAACATTGGTGTCTGAATGGAAAACAATCATGCTTCAGGTTAGGGCCACTCTGAGGACAGGAACCAGGCCTTCCAAACCACAGAGCCTTGCAAAAGAAGACCCTGCCTGCATCAAACAGACCTAATGCCCCCAGCAGGCCACTCTGCACACTTTTGATATCGATCCTCCCCAGGGGCTCCTGTGTTGCTGTGGTAACAGGCACCTACCTTGCTGCATCTAGCCCCACAATTCTGGCCTGGCCACTTGCCCTCAGCCTTTCCATGCCCATTCTTCTATGTTTCTGGGGGCAAGGTGTGGAACCTCGTCTAATTCTGTCCAAAGCTGTGCCTGATATCTTGGCATCCTCATTAGCAGCTGCCTGGAGGACAGACAGTTCTGTCTTTGAGTTCTCCAGTGTCTCATCCTAAGATAGATCTGGGGCCCCAGAGGGACACTCTCCCCATCCCCACATCCCACACCATACACCCTGCCACCCGGATCTCAGCAGACCTGAGTTTGGTATATCCCACATGGACTCACTGGCTAGCTTTGGAGGAGGGATCCAATGATCCCATATAGTCTCTGCCTACTTCTCTGTCCCCAGGGGCTCAAGTCCAATAGCAAAGAATTAGGTTCAAAGAAAGTCCATACTGAATTACAGCAAACACTCTAACATGCATTTTTGCATTTCAGACTATGAATTGTGGGACAACAGTGGACTGTGAAATCAATTTAGTGGGTCATGACCAGCATTTGTATATGAAGTGAATAGAATATGTTAGAACAGAAAAGAGAGGAATACATTATAGCTAAGATAATTTTTTTCTTATGAAACTGGAATCAAATGTAGGGAGTGTGTGAATTGTGATACAAAAAAGTATGTTACTGTACTTCAAGATCAATGAAGTGTGAAGGCCTATGCACTAAAAGATAGGACTATAGAAGAAGGAAGTACTTAAAAGGAAAGGATTGCTTCAGTTCTGCATGCTGGGCAAGAGACCATAAAGGAGGTGGGATTTGAGTTGGGTATAAAAGGTAGAAGTTATCTGTAAGCAGTGAGTGAGTGTGAGGAAGATGCTTCAAGGATGGATCAGTACAGAGCCAGGTATGTGCCAGGCCTGTGAGTGCAAATCTCAGCTGGATGTGCACTTGGTAGACATGGGGCCAGGCATGCAGGCTTTTGGTGTCAAGCTGAGGAAGTTGGACTTTATTCTCGAGAACAGTAAAGAAGCTCTGATCACATTTAAGCAGGAAAAAGCATGGTTGAGGAATCAGAATAGTAGGGAAGCAAGAGAGGAGGATGTTGTGCCAATCCAGGCAAGAGGACCAGAGAGAGAACTGTGGGGTGGGCAGAGGAGGCAGATTCCAGTGAAAGGAAAGGAAGAGATAAAGTGCACAGAACTTGAGACCTCTGAGGTGTGGGTGTAAGGACAGAAAAGGCCCCATAGCAGCATCTCCATCCAGGCCACTCTCTCACAAATTCTCCCTGTGGACAGAAACACCATGACTTCTCGCACTTTGGAAGTGAGTGTGCTGCACTCTGACCTCAGGGATCTCCCCATCTTATCGGCGGGAGCAGACAGCCACATAGACCACTCAGAGCTTGCGTTAGGCAAGGGCTAGAAAGCAGAGTTCCAGCCCTCAGGACTAGGGATGCTCAGGAAATAAGAAAGTAGTGGAATGGAAACAATCAGAGAGGTTACCTACTACTGAACTTGAGGCAACTGGATAACATCTATGATTACTTTCCAAGGAGGTAATGTTTTCTGCCCTTTGAGCTACAACCAGGAGGGGTGTCTATCTCACATAATATAGACCTGTTCATAGGGACTTTAAGGCCTCATCAGAAAGACTGCATTTTGCAAAAAGATCTGCCCCTGAAGACACCTTCAATGCCTTACTCAGTGATGTCATTGGCCTCACGTGTCAAGGTAGCCCCTCCCTCAGGTGCTCCAGTGTCACTGAGGAAGACAGTCCCAGGCTTCAGATGCTCAAAGCCAACCTGGGAAGTCAGGTGGATGGGCAGAAAAAATAAACAGGTCTGTTTTTTGAGGTTCAGAATCAGTGTGAGACTATGCAGTCCCCAGCAGACTTGTTGGACCCAGCTAGATGCCATGCCTTGTCTTGCCACGCCCTGGAGGCCAGATCAGGCCACTACCACTACCCTGAACTTGAAAAATCTATGTGCTCAGAGCACCAGATTAAAGAATAATTAAGCTAATAGAATCTTTCCCATTGTTTTTGCTCTTCGCCAAGTGTTTCTGAATGATTCCATTGCTTTTAACTCATCGTCAGCTCAACGGAAGTGGATTTTTAAATAACTTAATTATTTTAGAACTCACTGCTTCCAAAAACAATCTGAGGTCCCCCTGTTCCAGCTCTACAACTCTGTGCTGTGAGTGATTTGTTTTAATTAGCTTTATATTGTATATCTAACATAAGCCAAAAAGCTCCATAGCAGCGGCCCATTAGCTAGAGGGCAGAACCTTGGCCCAAAGCACCCCAACAATGGATCACTCTGAATCTATAATCAAGTTGGGGAAGTGGAAGACATGCAGCCCTTCACTCCCTTCTCCACAGCAGGAGGCTCCCAGTGGAGGCTGGGAGTGGGCTACCTGCAGGGGTTGGCTTCACAGTGAGAGCTGGATGGAGAAAAAGGCAAGCACGCCCAGCCATCAGCTTCCCACACACCCCTTTGATAAAACCTGTACTTAGGCACTGCAGCCACTGCTGCTCCAAAATGCCTTCTCACCTGTCACATTCCAGCTTTGATATAGATACCAGCTCTCAAATACCTAAAGACATCACATGGTCTCCCTGGCAGCGGGAGCTCTAAGGCAAGAAAGGAGTCCTGCGTCCCCAAGTTTCCCTGGTTGCCATTTGCCACCACTTGATGATAGCTGAAATGTCAGGAACACAAGAGCAGGAGCCAGACCTGCTGTCATCCTCATACCCTCAGCAAGTAGCTTCACTTTTTTCTTAAAGTTTTGCCTCCTCTGTAAGATGAATTTATCCCCTATCAGCAGCCACTTTGCAAGGACTGCATGCAGGAAGACCTTGCTCATGGAAACACATGATACAGATGGTAGTTATAAAAATGCAGTTGTGACATGGGTGGAAAGCGCAGAGCTCATAACTGTAAAAGGATTAAGGCAAGAACAGCAATTCTTTGTTGTGCTAAAAAGCAGTGAATCTTCAGCCACAGTGCTCACAAGTGGGTTCAGTTTTGAAGCAAAACACTAAGTGTACAAAGAGCTAATCAAAGATAGCATCTAAAATAGTTATTAGCATATTCTTCATAAGTAAGGTAAGCCTTTTGTGCAACTTTCACATAAATTACTTTCATGTAAACTTTCAGACATGCATTGTGTTTCTGGGCCCAGAGAAGCTAAGAAATGTGGACCTTATCCTGCAGGCACCAGGGAACCAGAGAGGGTTCTTGAGGAGGGGAGTGACCTGACTCTTGGTGGTTGGCATCTTCTATAGGAAACGCCTACCGAGAATGTTTAGAGAACGGGACATGGACCTCAAAGATCAACTACTCACAATGTGAGCCCATTTTGGATGACAAGGTGAGTAGCCCCCCTGCCCCAACCCTGGTCCTCATACCTGCGTTGGGACTGGGATTGAGCAGAGAGGATCCCAAAGTTGACAGAGCCCATCCTTAGGTCGCCCAGTCGTTCTTTTTGCATTTCCTGCCCTGCCTCTCTGCCCCGTCCTGTGCTCCGTGACACTGTGGTTGGGAGTCAGGAAAGGGGCACATGCAGTCCTGCCAGCAGGACAGCTATGGCTGATGGAGGACATAGCCAAGGTGGCACGGGACGGAAAAGAGAATAACCATGGGATCAGTGCTCTCCCATACCTAATGGCTATGTGCTGCTGAGCCTCGGTTTCCCCATCTGGCTTGCTGATTCTGATTCTACTTAGAAACAAGTGCAGTCTCAAGCTGCACTTGGGAAGCTGGGGCCTGTGCCAGCTTTCTCTGCAACTGGAGTCTTTTGTTACTTTGTTTAGATTCAGTGGCACTTAGCTATAATAAAAAGTGACCTACGTAGTTGGAGTAGCATTCCCCAGTGCTGTGCAGACATGCTTATTTATAGAGTCACCTGGGCCCACTAGAACAAGTTCTAAGAGCCAGTCGTGGGGGCAGAGGGACACACATAAGGTCTCTTTTGGTCCCTGAAATTAGGACACATAGGATTGGCCATGGCTAGAGTGCCCAGCTCCATGCTACATACCCATGCTCCATCTGCCATGTTTGTTATCTATCCAGCAGAGGAAGTATGACCTGCACTACCGCATTGCCCTTGTGGTCAACTACCTGGGCCACTGTATTTCCATGGTGGCCCTGGTGGCCGCCTTCCTGCTTTTCCTGGCCTTGCGGTGAGTCTACTCCTTCCCTGTACTCTCCTAGTCCCCATTTCTCCCAGGCATTCTCCCCTCCTCCAAGGGCCCAGGGACCGTGGATGGAGAGGGTTGGGCCAGGTGCCCAGACACTGGTCATCAGTAGGCACAGGGGTGCAAAGCAAGCCCAACCATAACAACCATGGGAGTGGAGGCCTTGGCTCCCATGCAGTGCCCCCTCCACCCTAGGCTGAGTTTCTGCTTGACCTCTACCCCCCATGGTCCCTAAACCCAGCTACTTAGAAGCTCTGACCCCAAGGGACCTCTCCCGGCTGACTTGGGCTGCCCTCCCTCAGGAGCATCCGCTGCCTGCGGAACGTGATCCACTGGAACCTTGTCACCACCTTCATCCTGCGAAATGTCACGTGGTTCCTGCTGCAGCTCATTGACCATGAAGTGCATGAGAGCAATGAGGTCACTGTTTGGGGATGTTGGGCTGGGCTAGGGGCTCTGGACTCTGGCAGGGGCTCTCTACCTGACACTCAGGTGCAAACCAAGCTTGAGCTTGCCTCCACCCCAGATATTGTTCCCTGAGAGCCAGGCAGAGTAAGGCCCAGCTGCTTGCACCTGAGGGCAAGCAGGTTCTTCCCATGCCTCTCCCCGTCTTGTGGGGTCAGGTCCCTTAAGAAAAAGGTGCTGACACTAACTTCTATTGAGCTTATCTCACTTCATGCCAATGAGACAGGTTGGGACTCTTGTCCCCATTACATAGATATGAAAACTAAGGCTTGGGGAGCTTAAGTGACTCTCCAAGGTCACATGCTATAATAATGCCCCCACATCAAGGACTTCCCACATATTAGACATCCACCTAGATTTTGTCATATTGTGCTATGGCCAAGTCATTTTCAAAGTGTAGACTAGGACAGAGTCAATGCAGGTCTTTGGCACACCACTTTCTTGGAGAATTCTCAATCCATTTTCTTTGCTTGGCCTGAACCTGAGCAGACACCCAGCCTGGTTTGACCCTTACACTGGCCTTGCAGAACAGTCAGACATTGGATGTCTTCCAAGCCCAATACTGGCTTATATTAATAAGACATGGCATAGCTTAGAGAACAGGCAAAGTTGGGAAGAGGGACCTTTAGCCTCCCATCTCAGCAGAACTTTCCAGAACCAAGGAAGCAAATAGCCACATGGACCCAGAATCTGGGCTCGGGCTATGGGGGAAAGCCACAGAGCAGCTAGCAGCTCATCACAGGAGGATTACCCAACAGGTCAGGGCATCAGAGCTGGTCAGGAAAGAAGTGGGTATCCCAGGGTTCCCCAGATGCCCAGCTGGCTCACATGGTAGGCAGCTTCCTCCCCACCATCACAAGACTCTGAGGTCCCTGGAGACAAATCCTGAGGATGGTTAGAAAGCTCAGGCCTAGCCTCTGGCTGGACCGTGGCTCTGCATGGCTCTGATCAGACTCCTCTGTTTCCCACATTCCAAGACAGGTGCTCAGGGGTCCACCTTGCTCGGGGGGGGGCAGGGACACATCCTTCTGTGCTGGGGAGGCAGACCTACAGCAGCCCTGAGCACAGCACTGCACTCATGTGGTTCCTGTCTGTGGCATCTTTCCCTTCCTTTCACTGCCCACCAACCTCCCAGAGGCCCCAGGCAAGTGAGTCCCACCCCCCAGAGCCAGTGCTGCCTACTCCATACCTGCAGGCTTGAGGACCTCATCCTCATGTGACCATTTCATTCCCTTGTTGCGGTCAAGTCCGGGTGAAAGCTTATTTTCCATCCCCGTGGAAAGCAGTCTGACTTGGTAGATGACTCTAGACATGACACTGAGAACACCCAATGCTGTTCAGTCCCAGCCTCTGCCTGCTGAAAGCTCAGAATCAGCCTCCCCACTCTTAAAAAGGAAATTCTGAAGTGCTCTTGAGAAGTTAAAGGGCAATAGGACCTGGGGAGAATGGTGCCTTAACACCATCGCAGAGTGCAGGGGCTGGGGCAGGATGAACCTCTCTGAGTGGGAGACCACGTCCACAAGCCCTATTTGGGAGGCCCTCGGCCTGGACACCCTGCCTGGGGGCCTGGCCTGCCCATGCTCCAAGGAGCTCCTGACACCCCTGCCCTGTGTGCAGGTCTGGTGTCGCTGCATCACCACCGTCTTCAACTACTTCGTGGTCACCAACTTCTTCTGGATGTTCGTAGAGGGCTGCTACCTGCACACAGCCATCGTCATGACCTACTCCACTGAGCGCCTACGCAAGTGGATCTTCCTCTTCATTGGATGGTGTGAGGATCCCAGGGGCCTTGTGGGGGATGGGTATGACTGAAGGTCATCTCCCCTCATCTTGGGTCCCAGACATAGCCTTTGCTGCCTCCTCCAGAACAGCCCCAGGATGCAGCCATTTCCTCCATGCTGGTAAGGAAGGAGCTGAGAATCCCTCCAGAGGATTTCCCACAGATAGTCCTCTGCTGCCTGAGCAACTGAGCCAAAGATGCATGCTTTGGTGTCCAAAGAGAAAACGGCTGACTCTGCTTATGTCCCGAAACCTCAGCAATCACGCCACCATGCCCTGCATGTTAAAGACAATTGAGAGTAGAGCCAGGAGCCTGGGGACAGAACACCCTTGGTGCACAGATAGGCTGCAGCTAGAAGAGCAGAAACACGATCCAGGACTCCCTGTAGTCCCCTCCTCTGAGTCCGACAAGAGGGTCCCTTTCCCATTGTCTGTCCCTCTTTCAGGTGTCCCCTGCCCCATCATCATCGCCTGGGCCATCGGCAAACTCTACTATGAAGATAAACAGTAAGTGGAGTGGCTGCACAGGGCAGTGGGATTTAGACAGGTCAGCCTCGGGCTCTGGCTCTGCCATGGGGTGAGAGCTTAGCCATGCCTGGATGGGCTTCTGTTCCTAGTGTTCTTAGATGGACAGGAGTATCCCCCCACACACAAGTACTCACGTGGTAAGTCTTAAGGCAGCTTTGTCTGTTGAATTCAATTCGAAATTGTGGTTTAAGTGCTCCATGGTAGAACCCTGTTGGCCTTTGGAATGTGGTCCTTCTTGGAGTTGGGTGTCAGGTATGGCCAAAGGTTCATGGAAGGGATTGAGGTCTCAGGCTTTCTATCCAGATGGCAGTCAAGGCTGGAACCCAGCTAGAGCTTGTTTTTGGAGATCTGCCTGGAGCAGAGTGCTCCCTGAACCAAAGTCTGGTATATTGATCCAGACCAGCCTAGGAGCAAACAAAAAGTCAGGTCCTAGAGGTGAGAGAAAGGATGCTGATGAACCCAAGTCTCTGTGTAAGGATTTTCAAGGGGTTGCAAGAGCTGAAAAGACCAGCTTGGATTTAAGGGATGAGGGCAAGAATAGAGCCCTAATGTTGGAATGCCTAAAATGAGGAAGACTGCAGAAGGATCGGTAGTGGGCTTCATGTCAAAGGAGGTGTTCAAGGAGAGACCAGAAACTTGGATTCTAGGAGGCAGTAGGACAGATTTCTGCTGGTGTGCACTGGCTATGCAGGATACAGTTTCCAAACTTGATAGTCCTTCCCCAAGGTCCGGGCATTTCTGGCACAGCCAGACTGAAACTTGCCCTTCCTCTATAGACAGTAAAGCATCTTCCCAGCTGCCATCCCTGTAGAATAAACCAAGCCTCTGTCTGCCAGTGAGGTCAGCCAGGCAGCAGGCCCCCTTCACTAGCTGCATATGGCTCAGCTCAAAGACTAGAAGACAGGGCCCGGGGTGCAAGAAGGCTTCACTCCACATCTTCTCCCTTGTGTAGCCCGGTGCCCAGCACACAGAGCAGCAGGTTCCAGCAGTGTGGGAACAGGCGGCAGTTTGGCCCTGGGCCAGCACAAGGGAACCCAGCTCTCCTTTCCTCCCTGTGTCTCCTCTATGCCCAGCCCTGCCCTGCAGGGCGGCAGGGAGCTGAGGAGCCGCCCCCAAGCCTGCCCTCAGTCTTGCTGGGAAACTAGGTGGAGGGAAGCACAGTCCAAGGCCCAGCCAGGGCAGCCAGTGGGACCGGGGCTGCCCACTATAGCATTCTGGGCAGGCAGCCCTGGAGATGGGACTCAGAAAGGGACAAGCCAGAGAGCACTAGTGCCACTTACCGGGTAATCCCCCAAGCACAGCTCAGCAGGCCATCCACAGCCACCCTGTCTTTGCAGGTGCTGGTTCGGCAAGGAGCCTGGTGACCTGATGGACTACATCTACCAAGGCCCCATCATCTTCGTGCTCCTGGTAGGTCCTCTGCAGGGACTGGGATGGTGCTGGAACACCAGGAGGACAATAGAGACCCACCTAGGCAGAGGCACTGGAAAGATGTGGTCTGGGCAGACCCCCATACCCACTCTGGGTGTTGCCCCCATGTCCTACATATGCTGCCTCTCTCCCCAACATCCCCTCCTTAGTCTCTTGTACCCTGTACTTCTCTGGACATCAGGTTCTTTCTCTGGATGGAGAAAGGGCTGACAGGTGGGTTTCTAGTGCCTTCCCTAGTCTGATGTGTGCCAGGCACCCTTGCCAGATAGAGTGCTGAGGCAGTCAGGTGAGCAAGCAGCTGGAGAAGAGAGGAGGATGTGTGGGCTTCCGCTCAGGCCAGACTCCTGCTCCTCTGTGCCCAGCAACCCCCCCGAGCCCCACCCCCCACCCCCAGCCCAGAGCAGCAGATTCCTGCAGCAGCATAATGAGCAATTGTTCCCTGTCCAGCTCCCCGCCCTTTGCAGAGTGTTTTCTCATCTAAGGTATAACTGCTACCGTGTTTTTAAACCACAGCGAGCTTTAATTAAGATAGAACTTAAATGGAGGCCACATTCTGCAAAAAGAACCCATTATATATCATACATTTAAAAAACACACAAAAAAGACCCATAAAGAAATTGGCATTTACGTAAGACTTATTTCAGGCTTGGTAATTTCAGGCTCCGGTATGTACCAGCTTCCTTAAAGGGCCACGACACCCTCTGGGAGACTTGGAGAGAGCCACGTCCTCCTGTGCACACAGCAGGTGCCTAGTGAGGCTGGCTTTTGTCTACCATAGAGACAATTACAGTTTATCTCTTCTGTTTCCTTGCTGTCCTCCTTTCTGTGACCTCTGTGATTCTGGGTCCTATCTTGGGAGTGTCCTTGGTCCATGTGAGTGGATGGTGGCTGGGAAGGATTCTCACCACCGCCTGAGGTTCACGGTCAGGGCTTTGCTCCCTTCCGAAGCAGAAGCGGTCCTTGTCGGCAGTGAGTGGGGGAGGACTGTCCCTAAACGCCCAGCTGCTGTGAGTCACAGGCCCTCAGTGTGAATGGAAACCCCGTAGGATCCATTCCCTCCCTGCCAGCTGCCAGAGCCTATGCTAGAAGGATAGGGATTTTGCTGAGCTTGGGACCCAGCCAAGAAAGGGTGGTCTGAATGCAGACTGATAAGGCACAAGTGTTCCCTGCTGTAAAGACGTGGGGACAGGAGCAGGGGATGTTGAGGGTCCCAACTCCCTACTTCCTCACAGGCACCCCACTCTCTAGCTCCATGGCCATCTCCCCTTTGAACCCAGCTATTGGCCCAACTGGGGCTTCCAATCTGAGCCCTTTTACAGCCCTCTCTACTTTCCTTCCACACCTCTGTCTTTGAGGCACAAAAGAAGTAGGAATTACTGGTGAAGAAACAGGTAACCACTCACAGCTGGTGGCTCGGAGCTCAGAACAGACCTCTTGCCTTGTCACTGCCTTCTGCCTGCTGTCCTCTTGTTGGAGATGTGGTTGGCACAACGTTCCCCCCCCCCCCCCGTCCCCAGCTGTTCCTGCTGCTAAGAGATGCTCACTTACTTCTGGGTTCTGGGAAGCCAGTCGAGAGACAAGAGTTTGCAGGAAATCTGGCTTCTCACTGGTCACTGTCATGGGAAAAGGACATGGCATCACTAGGCCAGACTGAGGCTTAGAGCCTCCGTGACCATGTAACCATGTGCCGATCCTCAAGGCAAGCTCTGTACTCCTTCTCACTGGACAGATGAGAAAGCAGAGATCAGGGAGGTTAAGTAAATTACCTAAAGTGAAGCCAGTGCATATTGATGCAGTCAGAATTAGAACCAAGAGACCAAGCCAGGCATTTGGGTTTTTGTGGTTTTTTTTTTTTTAGTTTTATTTAAAAGGAAAGAGAAAAAACAAAACAAAACAGTGTAAGGGTACAAGTAATACAGAACTACAATTTAAAAAACCCAGCAAGATATCACCAGTTAATAGATTACACATTATCATCAGAGATAGTTGCTCAAGTCACAGGATCAAAGCATACAAAGTGGACATTCAAACAGTGAGACTGAAAACAGTTGTGTTCAATGATCCAACCAAAAACATTAATATGGTCAGCTATTTAACACACCTAAACACACTTGCAGTTGTATCCTTTAGAGCACTTTTTTTTCCTCTTACTACAAAATTTATACATTTTGGGTTTTATTATTCCCATAGTTCTTATTACTTTTTTTTTGGAAGAGAATAAAACCAAATATGGCAAAACAAAGCTGTCAGTCAAAACCAAGGATAGACATAGTACATGATGTAAAAGCAGAGTACAAGGTTATCAACAATGGTTACCATAATGCCTCTTGCTTCCTTAAAAAGAATTGTCTATATCATTAAGTATTATAAAGTTGAACAAAATAATAAAGAACAAGACCAATAAAACCTAAACATTGTAAACATTATAGGACTTCAAAAGAAGATAATAGTCAAACCAGAATGGAGCCAGGCATTTGTTAGCAAGATAACCTAGAACACAGAGCAAGGGATTGAAGAGAAGACAGAAAAGGGAAGAAACCTAGATGGGGAGGCAGTAAGTAGGCTGCACCAGGACATCCAGGCTCCATCTCATCCACCTCCCTGAGGAAACCTGTGCACAGGTCTTAGAACTGTCCCTGTGAAGCCAAGGAAGCTGGCTTGCTCCTTTCCTTCACCCCACCGTGCCTCCTCAGTGGGGCCCTGCATTCCATCTGTCCTGTTCTCATTCTGAGCTAGCTCCTGCCACACTAGAAAGAGCCTCCGACTGGACACTGTCCCCTGCATGTGAACATAGACTCAGGGGAGCAAGGCTGGACATCTATTATAGGGTGTGGCACATTCTGGTCTATCTGGAGAAAGCCTGGACTCTGCATTCCAGGGATGCTGGCTGCTCACTCAGTGTGTCTCTCAGTAACATCTAAGCTCCCTCCATTCCAAAAGCAGATCTAGGGACCCAGCCTGACGTTGGGGACCTGCACTTGTCACCAGCATCCAGACGCCTTGCTGCGCACACTCTAGGTCCTGAGCATAGTGAGCTGCAGTGGAGAGCTATGTTGTCTGGCTTTCTCGTGGCCCACTAAGGGCCACTAAGGGCTTAGGATTTGGGCCTTTGAGGCTTCACCTCCCCAGAAAATGCCAATAGAAGGGAAAATATGAGGTAGCCAGTGAGGACCAGTCTTCCACAGGCTGGGAGGCAGACTGGTAACCAGGCTTCAGGATACCCCCATTTCATCTGAGGGGCCCCCCAGCAGTGAGTCAGCAGACTCACCTATCTGTGTAGGGTAGGTGGGCATACTGGCCATGAGTCCTGGATTGAATTCACATCCTGGTGTAGGGAGCTGTGAGCGAGGCCAGGTGGGGAGGAGAGTTGAGACAGCAGAGCCTCAGGAACCCAGCTCCGGGCCAGGACATGGCAGAGCAGCGGACATGCTCAGGACTAGGATCTGGGCTTCAAGATAGTGGGAAGCCACATAGGGAGAGATGAGCAAGAAACTTGGTCTGCCTGCCTTTCTTTTTCTTTGCTTTCTTCCTTCTTTTCTTCCTTCTTTTCTTCCTTCCTTCTTTCCTTCCTTCCTTCCTTCCTTCCTTCCTTCCTTCCTTCCTTCCTTCCTTCCTTCCTTCCTTCCTTATTTCTTCCTTCCCTTCCTGCCTCTGCATACCCATAAACAGTGAAGAAACATTTGGAGCGCAGTGTCCCCTGTGTGCACTGTGATTTAGCAAGTGTCCCACCCTCCAGCAGGTCTCAGGTGGCTCAAGCACAGGACAGTAAGAACCTGGAGCTGGGCTTGGATGACTTGGGGCAAGGCGTGCTCCATGGGTCATCACAGAACAAGCGATGGGCAGTGCTTCTTGTAGTCTGTGGTATGATCCTGAGGGAACTCCTTGCCCTGTTGGTGCCTTAATTTCCTACCTGTACCATAGGGATGTCACCCCTGCCTCATAGCATCACGTGATGACCAGTGGGCTGGGGTCACTTGCTGCTTGCTATGGGCACAGGATCACATGCTGATGGCTTCCAGGGTTTCCTGAGCTCAGACCTCAGTTGGGAGCTGCTGAAAACTGCCCACTCCAGAGCCTGACAGGACCAGCTCCTTCTGTCTGGCCTGTGTTTCCTCACCCCTGCAGAAACAGCTTCAATATGGGGGTTAGAAGAAAGCTGCTGGTGGCCAGCTGCCTCAGTGACAGTCCTCACATCATCCCTTGCTAACTTGGCAATATAGGCAGGTCACATGGTTTCTGATCCTCAGTTTGTACATTGGTGAAATAGAATTAATGATCATACCTGCTTGTAAAAGTGGTATGTGTGAGTGGTTCTGGAGTAGTGTAAGCATTGAGTCTTGCAGGTAAGCAAGAGGCCTCCACAAGCCCATCCAGATGCAGGAGGTAGGGTCTGAAATCTCCAGACTCCCAGTCACAAGACCATATAGTGGCCCCATGCTCTGGCTAGGCCCACCACCCACCCTTACAGAACCTCATGGGGACAAAGCTGTTTTCCCCAGGGAATCAAAGTGTCACTGGGGTGAGACACCAAGGTCAGTGTCAGGACAGATGGCAGCTAATACAAGGCAGTACATTTCAGAGAACGTTTCCTCAGGGCTCTGGCCTCATCTACACTGTAGTAGCTGTCCCGGGTAGCAGTCCCAGAGCCCATGCAAAGAGCCCACCTAGGTGGGATGGAGGGCATGTCACAGCAGGAGGTGGATTTTCCTGGTTTTGTTCCTGGATGGTTTCACCTCTCTCCCTAGGCTTGCTCCTTCCTCTTCCTCCGCAGCATCACCAAAGCCACACTGGTCACCACACAGGACCTGGGATCCTCCCACATCAGGATGGTTTCTTGACTGCCTACAGCGTACTCCCCACCATCACCTGCTAGCATGACCTCATCTTCAGTATGCACCTTCTGTGTCTCTCCCCAAGGCCTTCCTGGGGTGCTAAGGAACTTACCATTCCTCCTCCCCACACCTGTCCTTCCCCAGCTAAGCCACAAACCCTCCACAAGTGCGACCCATATCTGCCTGTCCACATCCTCATCTGTGATGCTCAGAGCAGAGCCTGGCAGAGTACAGTTGATTCCATTGAATGAAAGAATAATTAAGTAAAGCTAGAATTCAAGTGAAACCAAGTCAGGATACAAGTGCTCCCCTAAGAACTGGGCCGGTTTTGTTTTGGGGAAAAGGGAGGGGGAGTCTAAGAATGGAGAACTAAGGGCTTGGCATGAGCAGAGGACCTCCTGGAGAGAGAGGGAGGTGTCTGTGATGAGCCAGTGCAGATACTGTAAAGAGGGAAGCCGGGACACAGACTCCAAGGGGAGAAAGCCTTTCAGGCTTCCCAGACCAGGCAGAGCTGGACCTCGAGCAGCTCCACTAAATGCCCACCTGGTGTGAGAAGAGGGGTGATGTGTTGACCCCCAAATGCTCCACTCTAGATGCTGCCCCCAGTCCTGCTCAGCATAAGGATACGAACCAACATCAAAGGGGTGCTTAAGGACCGCCTGTTGATGGATGGATGGATGGATGGATGGATGGATGGATGGATGGATGGAATATTTGATGAATAATTGAACTAATTGGTGGGTGGAAGAATAGATGGATGAGAGTGGGTGGCTAACTCAGTGAACTGGCTAGCGTGTTGAATAATATTTGATGCATATTTGGGTATGTGACAAAGATGAAAGTATATTTTGATTCTAACAGCCTTGCAAGGGTCAGAAAAGACCAGGTACTAATTATTACATAGGATTGATCTATGTAATAGGTTATGGGGACTTATCAGGAATATGCCAGAAACCCAGAGGTTAGATGTTAGGTGACCCTCATGAGAAAGCAGCCTCATCAAAGGCTTCCCCAACCCCAAAACTCCTTCCCCTGTCCTCACCAGGCCACGATCTGTGATGTTAGAGCTCTTGTCCCTAAGCCCACCCTCCAGCCTGGGGCTGACATGGGACAGGGTTGATGTCCTATGATGTCTGTTATGTCCCCCACTCCCAACCTGGGATTTGGAACTCAGGGAAGGCCCTAGACCAACATTAGAAGAAATGGATTTTCTAGACAGAAACTTGGAGGTGTGTGTGTGTGTGTGCACGCGTGCACGCACGTGTGTTTGGGTATGATCCTTCAGACATCCCTGGGCTAATGTGGGTCTCTGTCTTGCCTGTGAGCACTTTGAGAAGGATTCCCCTTGTGAAGTCAGGCCAGTAGAGAACCCCATTCTAGTCCGCCTGCACATGAAAGCCAGTGAAGAGAGACACAGGCCCATCCATGTACCAGACTGACACATGGGCACACAGAGCAGGCCCACAGCAGAGTGTGCAGTAGGGCAGCACACAGCCACAGGGACCAGCCAACAGACTAACAGACCCTCCAGGCCCACAGAGGCCTGCATGAGTCAGGAAGCTGACTAAAGAATTAACTGGTGGGCTAAGGCTGGAGGCTGGGGGGAGGCTCAGAATGAAGACAAAGAGGTCCTTCCAGGAGCCTCGAGCCTCGGGCTGCCCATTCATCTTCCTACCCAGGAGTGTCTGCAGAGGCTGTGAAGCTCTTGGGTGTGGGGTGGGTGGTGGTTAATCACTCCATCTGGCCAGTGCTTTCCTGAGGCAGGGCTAAGAAGTCCTCAGTCCGACTTGTGTAAGTGAGAGTGAGAGACCCCAGTGTGCATTTTTAAGACCCTGGTGCCCTGGCTGGGTCCCAGCATGGTCCAGGGTCCCCAGGCTCTCCAAGCTGCAAATTAGGACCTCAGTGCAGTATCTACCTTGGGTTTCTGTGACCTCCTGCTACCTCTCTGGTTCAGACCTGGCAAAAAGGAGACACAGGGATGGAGCATTGATCATTGTTCTCACCACCTTCAGAGGCTGCCTTTTCTCCTTTGGAGCTGAGGGTAGAGGAAAGACCTAGACACAAGGGTCGTCTCCCTGTCCTGGCTAGGGAGAGACAGAGTTGGGGGGACTGGGCGGGGTGCTGGGTGACAGGTATGTGCCTGGGATGTGGCCTCAGGGAATGGGGCTTCCTCTCATCTCCTTCTCTACTCAAGGTCTTTGCTTTTCTCCTCTTTGTCTTCTTCCTTCCAGATCAATTTTGTGTTTCTATTCAACATTGTCAGGATCCTCATGACAAAACTTCGAGCATCCACCACATCTGAGACAATCCAGTACAGGTTCGTGAACCTTGGATGCCTTAGTCCTTGCAAGAGAGCAATGAGGGATCATTTGGGCCACACACCCCCCTTCACTCAGGCTCCCCGAGGAAGTACACTGGAGACCCCTCTTCCCACCCTACGGTGGGCTCTGCCTGCGGGGGGCTCAGATCTGTCATCACCCTCTCACCCCCCAGGAAGGCGGTCAAGGCCACCCTGGTCCTCCTGCCCCTGCTGGGCATCACCTACATGCTCTTCTTCGTCAACCCCGGTGAAGATGAGCTGTCACAGATCGTGTTCATCTATTTCAACTCCTTCCTGCAGTCTTTCCAGGTGGGACTCATGCAGAGAGCATCCCTGACCCCAAGGCTCAGGCGCCCCTCAGTGTGTGGGGTTCGGTGAGATACAAGAGCACATTCATGCTCACTCAGAACCCGGCCTGGCCCCAGGTGTAGCCCTGTTACCTGAACCCCAGCACTTCTGAGGAGTCAAGGTGGCTGTAACCCTACTTACTGCCCTGGACAGGCCATAAAACGTAGAGTAGGCTGAGCTCCCATCTTTAGGATGATGGTAGGTGAGGACCAGGTTGCCCTCGCTCAGAGGATCTTGGTATGACTGCACCCTGTGGGCGACGGCCATGGCTCCTGAACTCTATCCAGCTCTGATGCAGGGGTTATGGGTCAATGTGGGCCTCACCATTCTGTCTCCAACCCCACCCTCAAGATATAGAGGCTCCTCCACAGGCCCCTGATGACTCCCTCCTTCTTCCTAGGGTTTCTTTGTGTCTGTCTTCTACTGCTTCTTCAATGGAGAGGTACGAGGCCGGGTGTTTGGGGGTGACCTGGGCTCTAGGCATTTGGGGAAGCTTGATCCTTGGCTGGGCTCAAGTGTGCTCTGGAAGATGTAAGGGCAGCCTGAAAAACTGCCCTGCCTTAGGGGAGCAGAACTCCTCCAGCAGGGCCTAGAGGCCAACGGAAGGTCCACCACAAAGTCAGAACTAACAGGCCAGTGCCCCTTGCATACCTGGGAGAGGAGGTGAGCAGGGTGCCCAGATTGCAGGCACTGGGGCAGAGAGAAGTTGGAACAGAGGTGGTGACAGGAGGAAGCCTCCAGGGACAGGTGAGGTGTTGCCATGCAGGTCGTTATGGACTCAGTTCAGCACATTCCCCCACCACAGAAAAGAACACCCAGCTGGGGTGCTCCAGAAGCAAAACCTGTCAACTAAGGGGCCCCAGGATCCTGGCATAGAGATTACAGGGAGATATACTGTCAGCCAATAGTGGGCAAGGACCTCGGTGGGCTTTGCAGCAAAAAGACACAGCCTGGGGCCTGAGAGCTTCTAGGAACCCCAAAGGAACACGGTGTCCCCAGAGCTATTTAGCTGGCAACTGCACAGGGCAGCAATAGGCATCTACACAGGTGTGGGCGAGGTCCCTGAATGCTGGCTGGAGGTCCCTGGCTCTGCTGGCTGGAGGGTAGGGATGGAAGGAGCCTCTGAAGTCAACAACGAGTGTTTTGGGAGCATTAATGGCTAGGATGCAGAAATAGACTCACTTTACAGAATTGTTCCCTTACAAGAAGTGAACAGAGCCATTAGCTTTGCCCCTCGGGAAGTGCATGCTGTGGGAGGAGGGGGGAAAGGTCCTCCCAGAGGAGGACCACCCTTTCACCATGGGGGGAGCAGGGCCCCAATAAGGATAAGAAAACTGACAGCGAGCCCAGAGGAAACTGACAAATCCACAAAGACAATGTGAAGCAGTTTGGGGGGGCGGGGGATTAGACTTTGGCAGAGGGATGGGAAAGAGAGCCCCCAAGAGAAACTGCAAGGGGGGTCCCAGGCTCAGGGGAAGGCCTCAGTGTGAGAACTGCCCCTGGGCTCCCTGAACAGTCTCCCAGGGGAGAAGGCAGCCCTTGGTGACAGAGCCTCCCCGTCCTTGCAGGTGCGCTCAGCCGTCAGGAAGAGGTGGCATCGCTGGCAGGACCATTACTCCCTCAGAGTGCCCGTGGCCCGGGCCATGTCCATCCCCACGTCACCCACGAGGATCAGCTTTCACAGCATCAAACAGACAGCTGCCGTGTGACCCCCACTCCACCGCAGAGGCAGCCCCCCACTGCCCTCCTTCTGCTCCCTCCTTATTGCAAGACCCCAGGGACGCAGCAGGGAGAGGAGAGACCGGCCCTCCAGCCTGGCAGGAAAGAAGTGGTGCTGGGCAGAAGGGGACTCGGGGATACAGGGCCTGCTGCGGCCTGGCCTGTGAGTCTCTGCACAGCAAGGAGCAGAGGAGGGTGGCCAGGGGAACTCCCAAGCAGAGCAGGGCAGATGCCTTTATCCCTTGCCCATCCATGCGTCTCTAGATGGATCTTCACCATAGCCCCACCATGAAGAAGCTGAGGCCCCGGGAAAAGGCCTGTCCTAGTTATGTGGCTCACTACCCCAATCCCAGCACCCATGGCCCCAGGATAGTTTAGCTCTGCTCCCACTTTCTGCCTCCACACTCAGAGGCACCCCCTGTAGCTGGGAACTCAAGGGTTATCCACCTGGCTGCTCTGAGAAGCCTCCCTCACACCCTACTCCTGACTGGCTATCTCTCCCCTCTCCCCAGCCATCCAGCTCCTGGGGCTTCAGCCAGGGTGCTGCTTCCTCCATGGGGGTCTTGTCAGTCCAGGACTCAGATTGGAGGCTTGGAAGGGGAAGGTCAGGGAGGAGAGGCATCCAGCAGAGCCTCACCCTCAGGCCAACCAGATGCACAGCACAGAACAGATAGGGAGTAGAGGTGTGCTAGTGGGAGCGAAGAGTGGAGTAGGGACAGTGCATTTGGTGATGAAAACTACTCCCCAGGCCCTCACTGGCCTGGGTCTCAGCCTCTCCTCCACTATCTGTGAAATAAACCACACCTCCGGAATTGGCCTCCCCACAGGTCATGTGACCAGGATTTGAGGGTGGTGCGGGCCCAAGATGGGGGCTGCATCTGCAGGACACAACCATGTGCCCCCTCTTTAGGGAACACGGGCCCTGGCTGGGGTGGACCTTCCTCTCTAACTGTGGTATGTTTGGAGTCATCCCCAGAGCATCTGCAGGTCCCTTGTTGCTCCTCAGGCTGAAACCTGTCCCCCAACCTCAACCCCAACCAAAGGCAGTGACTAAGTCAGCATGGAGGAAGGATGCAGCTCAGCCCTCAGAGCAGGCCTGCCCCAGACTCTGCAGGGACAGAGACCTCCCAGGCTGTTTCTGATTTACCTTCTATCCCAGTCCCCCTCAAGGCTGGTAGCTGGGACCCAGAAAGAAGCCACCAGGCCATTGGTCTGAACAAGGGCTTTTGCTCTAGGGACCCCCACAAAAACAAACTTTGAAAAATTATGTACCCCATCCTGCACATTCTTAACTTGGCATTTCAAGATGTTTTAAAAGTACAAAGGATGTGATATGTAGCATTTGATAAATATTTACATTTTAAAATAAAACTGCCACAATATTTTATAATATGTCATGTGGAATCTAAACACTGCAGTTATTTAATACCCAGCCTCATCTGTCTAAAAAGCACATGAACCGGTCCTTTGTTAATAAGTGAAAGCATTACAGGTGTCCTTTCCTCTAACTTGTCTCTGCATTCCACTGCCCCTAAAGAATTTTAGAGTGATACAATATTTTTTTGATGGAGTCTTTTGTGGCTCACCCTATCATACTTCTCTGCCACAAAATGTATTTGTGGGCTGAAATTAAAATGTTTAATTTTCTAAGAGGAAGAATTTGACTTTTTAAAAAGACTTCTACATTGAGGTTACAATTTTTGTTATAAATGTAGTAAACAATTGATTAGATATTAAATTTTTTAAATAATTATTAAACCCAAAAAGACAAACTCAGTTGAAAACACACTTTGTGAAATGGATAGGAGTTTAATTGTTCATGAATCTAAGGATGAATTTTACTGCAAGAATGAATCCGGACTAAGAATCAATGTTTTTCTTTCATTTTTTTATAGTGCTATATGCGGAGAGGGCTTTTCAAATAAATAAGTAGAAGCTATAGGAATGTCCAGTGCAACTCTATGTGACTTCTGAGATGTGTTTTAAACTGCATGGCAATCTATCATCAAAAATGCTCTGTCAGCCAACTACTTAAGCCCTCTTTGCATTTGACTGGAAAAAATGAAGAGAAAACAATCAGACTTGCAACAGGGTTTGCTACCCGTCACGGCATATCCACTGTCTCACCACCAGCCCCTCTGTATCAGACTGTCGGTGTGGGCTAGGCGTTCAAAGCTCCACAGAGCACCAGAGTGTGATGTGGGCTGTGGCTTCTCCTGTTGCATGGAAGGAGCTGCCTGAGTGCTGGTAGGACAGAATTCATACAAGACCTCCTGCCTACACAGAGCACGATGCTTTTGTAAAGCAAAGAGGTGCAAATTGCTCAGTCTAAAAGACTACTCAGAGAGAAGTCTGGGGCCAGAAAAGATTGAGTAGGGGCTCAGCACTCATCTGAGCGGACTCTGCAGAATCTCAGTGTAATCCCTGCCATTCACCAGTGCCCCTCACACGCAGCCCTCAGCTCACTCTCGCTCCTGTGCTCTGTGGCCTGCAGGAATCAGGGTCCCGTGGTCCTTGCAGGCATCCAGGCCTGCCGAGGCCATCACTGTGAACAGCACCAAGCTGCAGACCTGACTGAGCAGTTTCTAATCCATTGTACCTGCAGTTGAGGAGACCCGCTCCAGTCCTGTAAGCCCCTCATTACCTGGACTCATGGTCGTGGGCCCGTAGATCTCTGCCTTTGAAATGCCACTGGCCATCTCTGTGGGTCCCCACTGCTAACCTCATTATGCACCTGCTCTTTGCAGCCCAGCCGGTCCTCATTAGCCTCTGAAGCAGCACTGGCAGGCCCTTGTTAAGTGGCCTTCCTGGAAAGCAGCTTCATTGAGAGACCCTCCTCTGTGATAGCAGGAACTTCCAGCACCCAGACCTTGCGTGCTGGGCCCTCAGTTTCTTCTGTTTAAGCCTCCTACCCACCCTGGTTTATAAAGTTCACAAGGATTCCTCACCATGGCAGCTTGGTCCCACTTTCAGTGAGATACCACACAGAGCCCTGCCCTGGCCCATCAGCAAGGTGGGTTAGGACATGACAAACACGGAGGCAGGTGTGGCAGGAAATGGAACACGGGGCAGGAAGTGAAAGGCAAGGATGGCACTTTTCCCTCAGGAAGCAGCTGAAACCTCAAAGCCCAGCCATCCTGTGGGGGATAACTAACTAGCAGTGGAGAGGATGGAGGTAAGGTGGACCTCCTGTGCTTGCACAAAGTGATCCCAACGTGCACAGTTACATGGAGATGGAAACACATGGCTCCCATTATGCAGGCAATCACTGCAGCCACAGATGGAAGCCCAGGTAGATGAGAGCTACAGACATGGTAAGTGGAGGTTCCCAGAGCACATGAGGAGACCGAGATGGAGACATACACACCTATCCATCACTCGTTCCCCGTCCATTTGGCGCCACTGTGGCCAGAAATGAAAATAACAAGAATAGCACAGGACCCTGATTCAAGATACTCAACAGCTCCTTGAGAAAAAACAGCTCTAAAAACAGCACAAAGTGAAGGCAGGAAAGTGATTTGTGCCTGTTCCCGCCTGTGCAGGTCTCTCAGCATCTACTTCTGTGTATCGTCTTGAGGAGCAGGCAAATCAGCCTTTGCAGCCTCTACTTGCCCTTATTTGACCCCCTGCTTTGTACACATCACTAGCTCTACGCCCATAGTGAACCCAAGCTAGGTGAGACTCCTGACCAAGACCCCCACCTCCTTTCCACTTCCCACCATGCAGCTCCAGGCACTCGCCACAGCCAGAGACAGCAGAGAAGACAAGGCCTGCAGTGCGCCTCTCTGCCCTGCTGAGCACCTGCAGAGCCCTCAGTAGGTGGGGAACAGGTGCAGTGAGGCCCTGGGTGGGGGAGGGGCTGTCCCAGAGGGGATACTCAGAGCAAGCTGTGCCCTGCACATGTCACGGGGTTCCTGAGGCTCAAGGGAAGTACTTTGTTAGCATGGCAATGTTGGTCAGTAAACATTTTAGGGGGCCTAAGAGACAAGGTGGGGTGTCCAAAATAGCATACTTTGCCAGTTATAATTAGAAAAACAACAGATTTTAACTTACAATACATTTATAGTCATTTGTTAGGTCTCAGGTGCAAAGCAATTCCACAGAGCATGAGGACATTTTAAGGTTACACTGTGCACGTTCTCGCTGACACATCTGACAGCAGACAGCATTCCTGGCTGCCACAGTCTACAGCCCAACGATATCAGGAAAGAAAACATTCTTTAAAGATCTTCCTGTCTAAACTGGGACCTGGTTTAAATTAAGAATTTATCTTTGTAGAAGTTTCTTACAAAATCAAAACCCCTGAGGAAACACTGGCCATGTAAAAAGAACAGGAAGACATTTTGCAATTCCAAAGTAACTTGCAAGTCAAATATCTATAAACCTCATAATCACTAAACCCCAGGAATAATTTCTGTGTACATAAGATATCCAAACTCTCACTTGGGACAGATGCATTCATGGTACTGCTCACTTTCCCGCATGAAGGTGTAAGTCTCTCTGTATCTACTTCACAATAAACTCTACCTAGACTTCTATATGGCCTCTATGTCATGAATTATTTCATCAAGGGCAGATAAGCACCAAGAGTCAAGGAAGTGATGGGTCAGCTCCTAGGTGTGTCAGGGCCTGGCTTCCCAGTGACACTTCAGTGAGGATCAGGAGGGGTTTATGTAAATAGTTGTCTCTTGGTAGCTTGTTGGCAAGAGAGGTTTCAAAGAGGAGACATTCCAGCTGGGAGCCTTGTTGGGACTTTCCCCTTAGCCAACAGGGTTGCCCCTGGCAGCAGGCTTTGGAAGCTACTCTTTCCAGGCTCAGTGGGATCTAGAAATTGCACACAGTCTGACTGTGGACTGTGTATGAGCCAGCAGTCAAGGACCCTCCTTTCTTTCCACTACACTTGCATCCACTCATGCTTGTGTACTGCAGAAAGAGAAGGTAGGGACCTGTTTTTCTAGAAATCTGTATGGGAGGCAGCTATAGTGGGAAAGGAGGAGGGAAATATAAAACATGAAAATTTATTCATCAATATGCCCAGTATGGTTTCTAGGCTTCGCCCCTAATGTACCAAGAATTCTCCTGAGGGAGCTGAGCTACTTAAAGGTGTTAATTAGTACGAGCAAGGGGCAGGAGGTGCTGACATCACCGCCCTTTGTGGACTGAGCTGTTTCCAGGTTTCCCAAGACTGTCCCACACCACACAGGACTATGGTGTGTGTCTCCAATCCCAGCTTCATCATGATGGCCTTGACCTCCAAACTTCAAATCCTGCCCAATAGCCCTTTCTAGGAAGACTTCTTGTCAGCCTGTCACACAAAACCCTTTTGGGGTCTCCTAGAGCTGTCCCCACAAGGTTCTCTGCTAGACTTGGAATGCGTGGGGCCATGTGCCAAAGCTCTGCACCCATAAGAGCGCTAGAAACATTCATTGAGCAAATGGGCCTCTATTTGTTCCACCCAAAGCTGGTCTACCAACAGGCCTGTGTTCTGTGCTAGCCAGACATAATAAAGGCACAAAGCAATTGACATGCTTTGCACAGAGGAAAAATCCATTCGCTGGTTCCACACACTACCACCAGAGCCTAGGACCAGTTCTTGACTGAAGGCACCCCCTCCCCATTCCATAGGTAATGACAGAAAGTCTCCTCCAGGTCCTGCAGACTCCTGGCATGACCCCCAAATAACCTCATCCAGGGTCCCCAGGTCGAGTGCCTCCTCACTTTCCACTGCAGAGGATGTGGCCTCTCTCTTCACTTCCTACAAGTGGAACCAGACAGTTGGTGCCATTCTCATAAGTATCCTGGTTTATCTGGGTATACAGTAGGAGCCACAAATGCTACTTGAATAAATGAATGGTGAAAGCTAGGTTGACAGACAGTTCCAAGTGTTAACTACTGCACTTGGGAAAGATCAAGTAAAAGGGACCTTCTGAGGCTGAGTCCTGAGTCCCAAATCAATAGCTGCTGGTTGGACAAATGAATAAGCACAGGCAGGTAGGAGTACCGGTTCTCCACCCAAAGAAATGTTGCTCAGCCTCTGCCATGAACACAACAGAATAATTAATAGTGCTAGCTTTGCAGGGTACTGAGGAAGGTCCCCTCTACTTCCCTGAGGCCTAATTTCCATTTTCCACAAACCACCATCATGGGTCTCCTTGTAGTCTTCCTTGGTCTTCGGCCAGGAAGGCAGAGAAATGTGAAAATCATCAGTTCTTCCTTCCAACCCAAGTTCTGGTCACTAGGTTCTCTGGCCTTCTCTTTCTTCCTGATCAGCCCAAATACCTTCAGTTTACGAGACTCTTTGCTCATCTCCATTTGCCCTTTTAGTGATCTCCACTGTGCTCTATGGGAGACTGTGCCTCTCATCCCTAAGCAAATGAGCACCCTCATCCAAATTCATCTCATCCCTCAGCTTGAAACAGACCCAGGGTGTCCCTGCTCCTCCACCACAGAACTGAATCTCAAGGTCTTTACAACTGAAAGGATGAGGTACCAGCACCAGCAGAATTTGCATAAAGAGTCGGGTCTAAAGAAAGGGGTCCTGAACTGCAGCCAGAGCTGGACTTCATTCAGCTGTGGGCCCCACAGAAACCCTTGAAGGAACCATGGACCTGTTTAAAAGATCTTGGCCTCAAGAAAGAGAGCTAAATGCTTTTAGTAAGTATGAATTCCCTAAGTTGGTGGTACTCAGGTCTGGCAACATATCAGAAGGAGCAGGGTACATTAAGCAGGGTTCTGAGCCCCAAAGTAGACCTTAAAAATGTCTCAGGTGTGTTCCCTACTCTATGAAAGGCCACAAGCTGTACTCAAGGCCTCTCCCGTTTCCCACTGTATACCTCTAGTGGGAGACCTCATCTTCCCCAGCCAGGCCAAGCACTCCTCAGCAGCCGGATTTGCTGTCTGGGAAGTTTATGTCTCCACCATCAGGGTATGAAAGGCCTCATCTGGTCCACTCTGAACCGTCAGCTCCAGAAAACAGGAATCAGGTTCTTTGAGGGTACTTCACCGACCCCCAACACTCCTGTCCTCAAAAGACCTTGAGGTCTTAAGGTTGCTTTGCCTGGAACCACTTCTCAGTACATGTTTTAGAGTTTCACATTTACTACTTTCATGTTTAGGATCTTTATAGATTATAATTGATGCATTTATTCCAAGGGAATTTGAAATTTTGTCTCCTTTAAAAAGGGTACCACAATGGCATGGTGGTGTATGCTGTAATCCAGCTACTTAGCTGAGGCAAGAGGATGGAAAGTTCAAGGCCACCCTCGACAGCACAGTGAGACTATGTCTCAAAGGGAAGGGGAGGTAGAGTGGGACTGAGTGTCACTCAGTGCTTCCTGAGGTTCAATCTGCTGTATTGCTTCCCCCTGCCTCCCGTATCACTTTGCTAACTACGAGAATTTGCTTTGGGGTCTCTAACTAACCATTTCACGACTAAATGAATTCTTGTTTTGAGAAAAGGGTTGAACTGGATATGTAGCCATTTTGAAGTAAGCCAATTTTAAAATTAAAATGCAGAGGGGCTGGGGATTTAGCTCAGCGGCATAAGCACCCGCCTTGCAAGCAGGCGGTCATGAGTTCGATTCTGGTACCAATAAAAAGTTAAAAAAAAAAATTAAAATGCAGAATGTGGGAGCCAGGTGCGGTGAAATACGCCTATAATCTCAGCTACTGGGATACCAGGGCATGGAGGTAGCTTGTTTGAGGCCAGCCTGGGCAACTTAGTTAGACCTTGTCTCAAAATTTTACAAAAAGGGTTCAGTAGCCCTAGGTTCAATCCCTAGTACGGGAAGGATAAAAAAATGAGAATGTGGAAGTTACATTCATTCAGATATTTACTGAGTGCCACTTCTAGGGGGCTTGTCCTGGGCAATGAGAATACAGCCATGAATAAAAAAGACCCAAGTCCCTGTCCTAATGGGAGTGTACACTCCAGTGCAGTCACTGACAAACGGCTGAGAAGTATGGCAGGTTATTAAATGTTAAGTGTTGAAGAAAAGGCAAGCTGGGAAGGAGACAGAAAGCCATGTGTCAATGGCGCCATGCTGAAACGTAAGATCAAACCTGGGGAGACAGGGAATCCAGGAATAACTGAGGCTATGGTGACAGGGAGCTACCCGCCCTGTCAGTGTCCTGGCCTGGGTTGCCAGGGCCACAGGAGAGGAACCGCAGCAACACGGTGGGGGGGGGTGGGGGATAGAACACACAGTTGTCGTTCTAGAGGAAAATGCAAATCCATCACTTTGGGAAAGAACAGGATTGCCTTGCTGCTGGGTGGAAGACAAATCATGGAGAGGCAAAGGTACCACCAGGAGTTCAGACAACCCCTGCACAGAAAACTGGGTGACAGCCCAGAGTGGTGGTCGAGAAGGTGGTAAGAAGGGGCCCAATGCTGGACATAAAGTGCAGATGGAGTTGATGGCCTGGATGTGGCACAGGACAGAGTTGCTCCTAAGGCAGAGGACAGGCTGATGGCATATATCACTTCACAAGGTTGTTTCACAATTCCTTTCCAAAACACTGGGAAGTCTGGACTCCCCCTCCCCACCCATTTTAAAATTGTCAGTCATGACTTTTTTTTTTCTTCTTTCCCATAATTTCATTCTACTTAATCTGTCAACTAACTCACACTCAGATGTAAAACAGTGAATTCTGATAAGCCAAAAAAAGTTTTAATTAGCCTAAACTGTTTTAGTTAGCATAACTGCTTTTTGGCTAATTGCTGGTGATTGGTTTTAAGACTGAGCAACTGCAGTGCTGGCTGTGGAACCTCCATAGCAAACCTTCATACCAGCTCCCTTTGGCACTGGTCCTGCTTTGCTTCCCAGTAACAGAAGGATCCTCTTCCCTGGCCCTGGTTGAAGGCATGGAGAACAGAGCAGCTCTCTCAGCCAGACACTGGAAAAGCCAGGGCTAGAATCCAGTGAACTTCCAGCCCAGAGATCGGAGCAGCCCTCTGCTCTGCAGCCCTGCCACATCCATCCTGCAAGAATGTGGCTGCAGGTTACCCAAGGAAACGCAAGTCCGGATGCTCAACCCCCACACACATCTGCTTTACTAATGGTCTCACCAGAAGGTTCTTAAAATTTGTGGGCTCAAGGAAGACTTCAAGAAAGCAGCCAGCCCATTGTTTTCCACGCCAACAAAGTTACCCCAAGTGTAATAGTAGTAATGGCTCTCTTAAAGGACTTTCAGAAAAATATATTGATGTTTAGAACTCCTAGAGAAACTCATTACATTTGGTGAAGATGGGGCCCACACATGAGAATTTTTCAAAGTTTAAAAGATTCTAGGGGCTGGGGATTTAGCTCAGCAGCATAAGCGCCTGCCTTGCAAGCAGGCAGTCGTGAGTTCAATCCCTGGTACCGATAAAAACGAAAAAGACAAAAAAAAAAAAAAAAAGATTCTAATACCCAGCCAGCCAGCATGGAAAACAACAGCCCTAACATCATTTACTGGATCAACAGGCTTAAAAAGGTATGTCTTTTTTAACATGCAAGGAAGAAAAATGGTCCAGCATGGGACCAGCTGAGGGAAGGGTCTCTTAGGAAGCGGGGTGGGGCTATAGTCAATCGTTAGCAAAGCTCTCAAATCACATCCCAATTTCTAGGAGACATTAATTCCATCCAAGGTCTTAACACAATTACTGCTTAGAGGCAGCCCAATAACAAAGACTTATTGAAGAGCAACAAGAGGTGAACTTTGAAGCACAGCAAAAATTATTTATCCATTCACTTAGCGAATCTTTAAACTAAGTTTCATTTTAGTGATAGTCAAATGCCAAAAATACCTGCCCTGTGTATAAATTATCAGCAACACACTGTGCAAGGTTCTCCAGCTCGAGCAGTGCTCTTGTAGACTCCACATCACCAACCCCACCCAAGTAATACCCTTCCCTTGTCACAGGAGGCCCGGGGACTGTGCATCAGGGTTAGCAACCAGGCGCCCATGCACCAGCACACTGTCCCCCCTTCCCCGCTTCCCCAGCCTCCCCAAGCCACATCAGCCTTTCCCAGAAGCCATTCCACGTGCTTAGAGACTGCTGTTTCTTCAGCACAATGTATCACAAAATAGACTAAGAAAGATAAATCTATAGAGACAAAGCAGATTAGCAGTTGCTTAGAGTGAGCTGAGATTGGAATGGGGAATGCTGGTAAATCGGCATGAGAAATTATTTTGGAGCGATGAGTATGTTCTAAAATTGGATTGTTGTGGTAGCTGCACAGCTCTGTAAATATTCTAAACATCGGTAAATTGGACATTTAAAACAGACTAACTTTACAGCATGTAGTTTTCACTCCAATAAATTATTCTATTAATTTTTAAGTATATCTACTGTGTTTAACATTAAGTCTAATCAAAGATGGAAAAAACAGTTTGCTGAAAGAAACTATGGAAACACAAGCACATGAATTACAGATTGTTCAGAATTTCTGCAACTTTAATTGTGGGGATAAAATCAGGCAGTCAGAGAATAAAATACAGTCCTTGGGAGCAATCAAATGTAGCTCTTTTGGTTTTTTGATAAAATGGACATGGTGAGGGTTAAACCTTTACTGTAGTCTAAAGTCGTCCTCATTCCTCGATTGTCTCTTTTTTACCAGTCTCCTGGCCTTCAAAAACAGGAAACCTGGCCTCCACATCAGCCCACGTGATGCTGCCATTTGCCAGATCGCAGACTATCCCGGGTAGTTCAGAGACCTGGGGAGGAAGAGAAGACCAAACATCAACCAGCTTGTGCCATGTCTGTATTACAAAGTCTCCTTACAAACAGGCCCCCCCTCTGGGCCTCTACACAACTATACTCACCCTTCACCCCTCCCTCCCAGACCTCGGTTCATGCTCTTCTTCCAGCCCACAAAGTCACCACCTCCCACTCAATCCCATCACAAAGCCTTCCTAACTATTCTAAATCTTCACTGTCACTTGAAATTGCTTCATATACATTACACTTCACTCTTCAAATAGGAGCTCTTAACTCCTGCTTGGGAGCAGCCCATCAGGTAAAGGTATGAAGGGTACTTACTGGGCAAGCCAGCTCTTTCTCAGCCTTCAGCAAACACTGGCTGACATACAGCAGCCAAGTACCTGTATGGCTTGCTCTTCTGACCCCAGGTTCTGATCTGGTAGGTCTGGTGGGGGGAGACTCTGCTGAGCTAACCAGTGGCCGGGTGATGCGAGGTCATAGGTCCAGAGACCACACTTTGAAAACTACAGCCAGATGAGAAGATAGGTCTGGAGTAGCCACATCTGGCTCATAAGACAGGGCAGAAATTTATGCTTTGTGAAGTAGACTATAAACTCCTTGGGGAAAAAAAGCAGTCTTTTATTTCTGTTTTCCTTACTACTAACTCTATCGAGCTGAGCACACAACAGGCACTCTAACTAAATACCTGCTCAAAGCTAATAAATTAGCCAGCAGTTGTCAACTGAAGTGGCCATTCCATCCTTTCTCTTATCAACCTCCTTTCCTTTCTGTATTCCCTTTCCATTAAGTAAAATTATTGAAACATTATTCACTGTTTTGAATGGATTATGACAGAAGACTTTATGTATATAAACATGCATATGTTTCTATAGAAATGGATAAAAATGTCTCAGTCCCCAAAAGCCTGCCAATAACACTATGGCAACAGCCTCTTGGCCTCACATTTCTCTTGCCCAATACACAAACAACTATAAAAGCAAACTGCTGAAGAATGAGCCCAGAGCAAACAAATGACTACAAAATATTAGAGAAGTGCTAAATAGATATTTTCATAATTAAGCCAAACAGATTTGGGAATCTAAGCTTTGTCTCATACAAGCCTATCATTAAAATTACAAAAGTAAAAAATATTGGAACATAAATAAAATCCAACTCAAACCAGTCAGAACTAATGCACACCTCTAAGATTTGAAATGCCAAAGTGAAAGGCAATTACCTCTGCTCTGATCTGCCGCATGGAGTCTCGGTCCCTCAAGGTTGCAGTGTGAGGGGTCTTGTTCACTGTATCAAAGTCAATGGTGATGCCAAAAGCCACACCAATCTCATCAGTCCTGGCATAGCGTCTTCCAATGGACCCAGACGAGTCATCTACTTTGTGAGACACGCCATTCCTGGTCAGAGCCTCCGCTATCCAAAGCAAATGAAGTAACGACAACGAAAAGAATGGAGTAAGTCTTGGTGTCACCTGAATGCTGTCTTATAAGTTCAGGAAACTTATAGAAGGGGTCAAAACAAGAGAGCAACAAATTCCAGATATACAAAAAGAAAAAACCCACAAGTTTAATAAATCCTTCCCTGGAGTCCAAACCTTCCCTCTTAGCTACGCGTGACACAGCTGCAGGGAACCGAGTGTCGGTAAGGAGCCAAGACCAGGACGTGGGTCCTGGCACCACCAGCTCTCCTTGCGCAGCCCTGGACAGTCCATGGATTCCTTCCACCACCCATCTCTGAAGGCACCAGATGACCCCAGGGTCCCTTTCAGAGCTTTGGACACCACAGTCAAGGCTGCTACACTTCACTCAGGTTCCCCCAAGGAAGAGAGCACAAGGCCATCATGAGGAGCAGTCCTGAAACCAAACTCTTAGGCCCTGCCTTGATTCACTTAATCCTAGGATAAAGCACTCTGAAAAAGCATATTTGCTCTCAGAAATAAGAGCAGAGGCAAAAATCACTTAGATTTGTTCTTATTCAATCTATACTTTTATTGAACTAAATGATACAGTTCCGAAAACTGAATCTACTTAATGGTGTTCCCATGGAGATTTTCCAAGTGGATTTGCTTACATAATTCCTTGACAAATGGCATGAACTCCTGGTTCTGGCTGAGCGGAAGGACAGAACACTTGAATGGAGCAACCACAGCAGGGAAACTGAAGAACTGGATGGTTTAAAAAGAAAGAAACCCGAAGATGTTAGTTTTTAAATACCTGTATGTTAATGTACCAAACCACATGTATGGTTGGTGGGAGTCCAAGCATCACTTTAGAGTCAAACTGCCAGATAACAAGATACGAAATGCAGTATGACAAAAAAGAACCAGACTCAGAAACATCTAGTTTCAGCTCTGACACTGAATCAACTTGGTGAACTCTTTCTCTAAACATCAGTTGCTCCATGTAAAATATGGTTTTTGTCATCTGCTCTGTTTACTTCATAAGTCTGTTTATTACAAAGTCAAATGGAGGACTTCTGGCAAGGTGGTGGAGTAGTGAGCAGCAGGGAAAGAGCCCCTCACGAGCCCCTCACTCCGAGGCGCTGCTGCCATGGGGGCCAGGTGCTCCCCGCTCCACGGGCCCACCACTGCAGGCCCTGGGGAGAGGAAGCCACGCCCCAGGGCCCCGACACCACAGTGGGGGAGCATCAGTGGGCTGCCGCTCTGTGTGTCTCTGCCACCCCAGAAGCCTCGGATGGGAGAAGCCCAGAAATCTCAGCTTGGAGAAGTCCAGGTGCTGGCCCAGGCCCCTGTACCATAGGATGGGCAGCCAGTACAGGAGGCACCCAGGGCTCGGCAACCAGCTGATTTGAAGGAACAGGAAAATATCAAGATGAAGAAGCAAGGTGCAATCTCAGACCCCCAGGCCACCCAGAACAAGTCCAGGAGACATAGACACAAAAGAAATTAGAAGTCACACACCTGAAATTTCTGAAATAACAGCAACTGAAGTAAAGAAACAATTCAGTGCTTACACTGTTTGAATGACTTTTCATGCCTGTGTCTGACAGTCTGAGCATCTAATTAGAGGGTAACAATGTGCATTACAGTAACTATGGTTGACTTCCTACTGTCTTGTTTTTCCAATATTGTTCCTCCAATATTGGTCTGTTTTGTTTTACTCTCTTAAAAAAAGTCAAATGATGTGAAAACATTCTGAAAGCCCCTATATATACAAGTTGGTAACTCACATAAAAGCCTTACATCTTTCTGTGGAAACTGCCTGAAGAAACCCCCTCAAATCACGTAACAAATGGTAGTGCCCAAACCACAATCCATTCTATAATTTCAGAGAAGAATCCATCAATCTTAAAGGCCACCTAAAAGTTTAATTAGTACAAAATAACCAAAAAAAATTCTGCATATCTATACTGAAAATTACAGCCCTCCAACTCTTCTCTGAAAGAGGTTTCTGAGAAACTCAGAACTCAAAGCAGATATTCTGTGGAAAGTGAACTGCGCCTGCCTTGGAAGCAGGCAGTCGTGAGTTTGATCCCCGGTACCAGTAAAAAGGAAAAAGACAAAAAAAAAAAAAAAAAAAAAAGAAAGTGAACTAGCCTACCATTTTGGGTTAGAAATGAGAGCTGAAGGCAGTTCTTAAATATTTGTAAAAAAAGGTTCACCTGAAGGTGAGCATATATAGCAGTGATTTTTCCTACAGAAATAGTAACACAGGTTTCAGGTTAGATCTCCACCCAAACCTTAATTCACCTATTATGCCAAATAATGGCAAATATTCTAAGTGAACCCTCCACTACAGCAGTACAGTTACCTGCATCCCAGAAACTTCAGCATTAGACTCCTTTCTTCATTAATTCCAGTTAATAAAGAAGTAGGAACGTACCTTTATAAAAAACATTTTTTTAATTTCAGTAGCAATGTTTTTATATTAAATTTATAGGCAAATGGATTGAGGTACTAGGTGCCATTAATTTAGAAACATTTTTGGCTTCCCACAGCCTAATCAAATTTCTCTTCAAAATGGGACTCACTATGCAATTCATAAAACATTGCTACTAATTTATTCTTGTTTGGCTTTTATGTCTATTAAAGCTCTAGTTACATCAATATTGTTAGATTCAAAGGAATAGCTAAAAGACTTTAAAAAAAACCTTTTTATTAAAAAAATAAGCAAGAAAACTATGAAACACACTTGACATCTAGAAAGAATACATTCGGAGTTGGCAATGTAGCTCAGTGGCACAAGCGCCTGCCTGGCAAGTGTGAGGTCCTGAGTTTGATTCCCAGTACCAAAAACAAAAACTAAAAAGAATACATTCAGTTAACAGATCATTCTTCCAAAAGGACTGAGCCTTACACTCCTTATTACTTCCTGCAAGAATGACAGGTTGCTCTTTTACATCAGAAAGTAAAGATGCAACTTTAGGGCAGACAGTAGAAGAGCAACTTTATTACCCACATGATGCAGTAGTGTGCCAGACCATTTTAAAACACTGGCACCAGGAATTTACTAGTTCATTCTCTAGAGTTAAATGCACTGGGAAAAATACAGACTTGCGTGTGTATATATAGTATTCCAGCATTATATATACTCTGCTTCAGAATGGTGAAGCAAATGAAACTGTTCTTTCAACTGATTTGATATGTACACCCTCTCCTTTCTAGTCATTCTACTGAATGGTTTTCCTGGAATCAATGCCTAGAGAGTAAAGGAGTATAATTTCCACAGGCAGAGGTGAGATGAGATGGATAAGTGGAAGGCAGGGAGCTACAACTCAGAACCAGAAAAAAAACTGCAGGAAGTGATGAAGCCTCCTTATAAACCTGTCTTCAATAACCCTTGAGGACCAGGAGAGCTAAGCCCTAGGTACTGCCCAGTTTATGACCTGTTGGGTTCACATCCTAGAATCAGGTTGGATTCTTTAAAACAAACCAAACAAAAAATAACAAAACAAACCTCCACAGATCTCTAAGTCTCAAACTGAGAAGATCTATGTCTCTGGAATTTACATCTTTACCCCAAGAGTATGTCAGGTAATTTTATGCAGTATAAGAAGGTTCCCTTGGGGCCGAGGATTTAGCTCAGTGGTATAAGCACCTGCCTGGTGAGTGCAAGTTTGTGAGTTCAATACCCGGTACCATTTAAAAAAAAAAAAGGTTCCCAATGCTTTACAAAAACACAGACACAGTTTGGTGGTTTGGTCAATTCTTTAAGCCTTCTCATTCCTCCTTCCCAATATTCTGAAAATAAGAACGTATCCAGAAAGTATCACTGATGTAACAGATTTCCCCACATAGGCTCTGTCTCAGAATAGTGTGTGCCAGGCAACTAAGGCAATTGCTCCCAGAATAACCTACTCACACTGGGGCTCATGCAAAGCAACATGTAAGTGCTTTGCTTTGTAATCAGCTTGCAAGAGGACTCGTTGTAGCAATCATTGTAAGGAAAAGTTCTTTGGTTTCTTAAGCAAAAAGGAACTCACTCCCTCCTCACCCTTTTGGCAAAAAATTAACTTCTTAAGAAGTCATGTATATCAGTGACCATTCATACTTTTTTAAAAAGCTAGAGGAAGTGACTTTTTGCCCAGTATTTTGGAAAATGTTAGCTCACTGTAGGACAGCTTACCGTTCTCTGTTCATCTCCTTCCCGTACATGGAATGTATGTTCAAGTATAGTATACATGATCCTACCCAGGCCAAAGGAGGGTTCAATTACACTCGGAACAACTTCCTCCACTGCAAAACAAAGAGAAATTCAGCCACATTCTGTCAAATACCGCACAATGCACATCTGTTCTGATCTAAACAATTCTTTTAGCACTAAAATGTCTCTACTCTAAATGATTTTTTATGTCTGTTCATCAGGACAAAGAATAAGAACCTTCATAAAAGCTATCCTCTAGTAGGAAACAAATGCCTTCAAAGAGAAAGTTGCAATGAAAGAAATTTTCATCAAATTTAATTCTTTGTCCACATGTTAGAAAAATGAAACTTGAGCCACAGGACCATTCCTTCCCCGGCTGATAACCAAAAACAGCAGAGACAATCTGCCTTGTCTCTCCAGAAAGCATAAGTTGAGAGCTTCAATAAGACATTGCTGGAAGTTACATATCTATCACCATAGCTGAGAAAATTAACATCAGGCACAGTCTACCAGGAGACCCTCCAGCTCTTCCCATAGGCAAGACTATCCCTGTGGTACACACAGGAAATGCATTAATAATTACTATTTCCTACAGAAAGGAAGCAGTGACTGCCCAGGCTTACAATTTCTGACTATGACCTTCCAGAATTTATGTTTTATGAGTAATGAGTCAATTACCATCAAAACATTAATTCTAAAGAGAAACTGCTTGTTTTGTCCATGATAAAGAATAAGAATGTATTTTAGAAATACGATCAAGGCATTTTTCTGTCCTTCTTGTATTCACCTGAGTAATGAAGTATAGTTCTGAAGTAACCACCAGGATAACAGCTAAAGATCCAAGGCACAAAGGGGCTCCCATGATTCCAATACTATAGACCAAGAGCAAACCAGGGAAGACAGGCCTAGTGTTTCCACCAGCAGCAGCTTCTCAAACATCCACTGCTGCCTCTAGGAGCTTCTTGAAAGCCACAAACAACTATCACAGTGGCCTTCATATATGCTCAAAAGCACTCACTACCCAATTAGTAGCACACGTTCTACAAAAAAATCATTTCCCTTAGCTTCTTAAAAGAGTATGAAAAGTCACTAATCCAAATGACTTTTTAAGAAGTTAATTTTTGGCCAAAGGGGAGGGAGCTGAGCAAGGGATAAATTCCTTCTTTTGCTTATGAAACCAAAGGACTTTTCCTCAAAATGAAAAAAAAAAAAAAAAAAAATCACAGGTATTCTTAAAATGCATCTCAGGATATAAGAAACATAATGGCAGTATTATAAATTGTTTTGCAGTGTAACTATGTTGAAAAAGAAAAGAAGCTTAAGCTACCTTTTTTTCCTCTTTGAAATTTCTAAAATATAGTTATATCACAGAATAAAACATTTTTAAAAATTCAGGAGGAGTTATTTGTTTATTGTTTGTACAAATTTACCATAGAGTGTTTTCTGGAATCTCTTCACACTGACCATGTCTTTTGTTAACTGAAATGTTTTTCCTTCAGTTTCAATAGTGAATTCCCTATTTAAAAAAAAAAAAAAAAAAAAAAAAAACAGTAGTTAAAAATATGTATCCTTGTATCTTGATTTAGACAAGCTTTGCAGACTGATAAATTGTTTTTCACTTGTACAATGCAAATTTGGTCATCTCTCTAGCTAAGATAGTTGAAGTCAGATCTAAATTATCTCATATGCAAAACCTAATTAAGTATTACCCCAATTATGACACCAAGTAATATGCTGGGGAAGCATGTAAAAATTGGATTAGTTTGTAAAATTCCAAAAGTGACTTAATGACAAATTCTTCCAGCTTTGAAATCAAGGTTAAACCAAAAACATACTTAAAAGCTCAGTTTTAAAATAGCAGATTTATCAGAAATAGGCCTGCAGGTAAAGTGACTATTCCCTTTACTGTCTCTACAAATGTAATATATGAACCAGTTTGCCATCCTACAGAAATAACCTTAAAACCCCCACACTATTCCAAAATAAACTGGCACTTACATTGACAAAGATCAGTTTAAAAGAAGCTTAATGACTATGTGATGTGTTGACACACATTATCCTACCTCCCCTCCCTCCGCCACTGGCTGTGATATGTCCATTTTGAAGCATTTCACGTAATACCTGTATTTCAGCTTATGAGGTATTTTCTCACATCATGAAGATCTGTTCAAATGTCTCTGGCATCACAGCAGCTCAGTGCAAAGAAAGAGCCCTCACGTGGCTGTCCTGAAGCTGCATAGTTGGCATATACCACAGCTGCATTTTGCTAGTTTCTACCAGTGATAATCTCCTACTTCCTTTGAACGGTTATAAACTGATGTCTTCTGTTTTTGCTACTCTGTCTGAAGTTTATGAATTCAATACCTTCAGTGTCACAGGTATTCTCTCTGACAATACTACTCTAAGTACAGAGTAGGTAACAACTACCAAAGAGCTATATTAGCAAAGAGACAGCTACTACTTTGAGAATTAACAAAACTGCCTTATTTGTGAATAATGACATCTAACTATTGATATAACTCAAAAATGGGCCTGCTGATCAAAATGACCACTGTTGGGCTGGGGATTTAGCTCAGCGGCATATGCACCTGCCTTGCAAGTGCAAGGCCATGAGTTCCATCCCCAGTTCCCTCCCCTCCAAATGTTCAACATCCCATCTGATGTTGTTTTTGGCATAAACAGGTGTTACTGAAAGATCAGAAATGCTTTAAAAGCTATCAGTAACAAAATGGATACTTTTATCTTCAACTTGACAAAGTCCATCTTATTCAGTTCTTGACAAGCAGATATATGCAACTACCGTAGCAGAGAACATTCCCGTGGCTCCCTCTTTTAGCCAACGATGAGCCTGCTTTCCACTATCAAAACTAGATTTGTCCTGCCTAGAGTTTCACACATTAACTTTAGTGTAAGGCTTCTTTCACTTAGTCTAAGGTCTATAATAAGTTGCCCCACCTTCTGTGAAAATATATTTCATATATAGGTTTTGGGACCATGTATGATTTCTTGTATTGTTTTAAATTTTATTTTTGGTATTCTTTGGGGTTTTTTGAACAACTTTTTGAAAATGCAAAAACGATACTTTTGGAGGTAGGTAACAAAAAAAGTACAACTGTGCTCCAGTTATTAGAAGGAGCGCTCTGTAGGTAGCAGGTTGAAATGATTAAAGTGCTTATATTTTCCAGCTTGTTTTAATGTTTGTCTATTTGCTCTACCAGTTACTGAGGTAGATTTGTAAATCTCCAACTGTAACTGTGGAATTCGTCTGTTTTTTCTGTCAATTTGTTTCCTGTACTTTGAGGTTCTATTTTAGCTGCGTATACATTTGGGAATGATTACGAGGTCTTGGTGAACTGACCTGTTATCAAATACCTCTTACTGACTCTGATAATATTCCTTGCTGTGAATATTAATTTATTTTGTTTGATAGTGACACAGCCATTCCAACCTTTGGTTAACATTTGTATGAAGGATTTCTTGATTCTTTTACTTTTAAATATATTTATGTACTACCATTACAGTGAGTTTCCTATAAATAGTATTTATAGGAAATACCTGTATTTTTTCTCAGACTGACAGTTCATGGCTATTCATTCATGTTTAAATCATTTATTTAATGTAATTATTGGTACTATTGAATCTAAATCTGCCATCTCACTAGTTATTATTTGTTCCATCTGTTTGTTCTTTGTTCCTTTTTCTCTCCTACTGTCTTGTGGAATATTTTTTATTGTACTTTTAATCCGATTTTGGTTTAATTATACTCTTGGAGTTTACTGCTTGCATTTTTTAACATATCATAGTCTATCTTAAATAATATCACACCACTTAATATATAAAATATATATTTTATAATTGCATATAACTAATTTTTTACTCTCATCTTTTGTGCCACTGAAGGTATATACTATATTTGCATATAGAAATTCCATTATACATTATTGTTTTTACTTAGTTTTCATTTGAAAGTATTTCCTCTTTTATTTTTTAAAAGGTATTTTTGCTGGGTACAGAATTTTTGTCTTTAAGCACTTAAAAGATTTCCTTCCATTTTCTCTGGATTTTATAATTTTTGGCAAAATTGTTGGTTGCTATATAATCAGTCCCCTTCCATGTCTTTTAAGATTTTTCTCTTGTTTCTATTTTTCAGTTTGAGTCTCCTATGCCTTCATGTGGTTTTGTGTTGAAACTGCTTAGTTAGCTTCTTGAATCTCTAGGTTTGCAGTTTTAATCAAATTTGAAAATGTTTCAGCCGCCATATCACCACATTTTCTACTGACTTTCATCTTTCTCTCTGTGACTCCCAATTAATTACGTTAAACTGCCTCCTACTGTGCCATGAGAACTTTTTTTCCAGTCTCTTATTTTCTATGCTTTGCTCTAAATAGTTTCTGTCACTACATTTTTATGTTTAATGATCTTTCTTCTGCAATGTTTAGTCTACTCTTAATTCCATCCAGTGAAAGCGTCATTTGAAGTATTATCTCCAGATGTTTCATCAGGTTCTATTTCCACATCTCACTTAATATGTTCATTCTTTACTTAATATTCTTGAGACTAGGAAGCACATTTATAACTCTTTTAATATCCATATATATTATTACATAATTATTATTTCTGGGTGTTTCTTTCAACTGATCTTTCTCCTCATTATGAGTTGCACTTTCCTTTTTCAGGTATACAGTAATTTTTTATTGTTTGCCAGACATTATAAATTTTACACTACTTAGTACTGCATACTTTCTAAAATTTCTTTAAAGACACTTTCTCTCTCTCTCTCTCTCAAAATCATGCTTAATTATAGAAAGAACTCCAAAAAAGGAGCAGAAACTTGAGAGATGTAGTTTTTAAACCTTTCTTAGACACTATCTTAGACACATCTCATCCTCTAAGAAATTAGAAAATAAAGATCTCTACAGTTCATTTCAAATCTATTTCCAGACTATAATGTTAAAATCCTAGCAAAGTCATTCAAATGTAGTCATAAAACAGTTCTTTCCTGCAAAAAGTTTCTACAAAAACTAACCTCATCCTAACTTTTAGAAACAGAAACAGGACAGGTCTGAATGGAACTCACATAAAAGTAACCATCTTTAACTTACCCTTTCTCATTCAGAAGCATCTCCATTTCCGTAATGTAACATTCATCACAAATGGCAAGATACTCCATCACCAGCTTTGCATCCTTCTTATATGCCTTACCAACTGCTCCCTTATTGGGTTCAAACTGAACAACATTAACTGTTTTGTATGAAACAGTCAAGGAATCACAAAACATGCATTATCTCAATATTTTGAAAAATGACCTTGAAACCAATCGAAACTTACAACCACCATCAGTTCTCTAACAGTACCTTATATTCTGTTTGGTTATGCTGATTTTAAGTGCAAGACAAAACAACCATCTACACAATCATTCAGAGGAACTTCACTTAAAAATAATGAAATACTGTCAATAGCTATGTTTCAGCAGTGAGAGAAAAAGGGTACTATCTAATGGACAGTATAACCCAATCCACAGCATTGAAACTTTTGGTAACATTTATTCTAAAACAGCCAACACAGTAAGACTACAAATAGAGAGCATGGGAAAGCAGTAATGAGGGAGATAAACTCACATGCTTATACAAGTGCTGCAACAGTTCCAACTGATCTCCACTCACCCACAGGATGAGATTCAGACTGGGACTTAACACATCAGTTAGATGTTTTGGCTTTAGCTCCAAACATCGGGTGTGACCAGAAAGGATATGGGTTCTTTCAGGGGTTTCTCAGCTACAAGTGGGACTTTGGTGGCTCGTGCATGACAGGAAAGGTCATAACAGGAACGATCAGCACATCCAACAATCTCAATCCAGCCCTAAGAAGACAGAACAATAAAAACTTTTATTGCTTACACTAAGTTTGTTCACAGATGCATGAACATAAGTAACCCCTGCCAACATTCCAGGATAGTTTCAATTATAGAATCTCCAATTAGACTTTGTAAATTTTTGAAAAGATAATAGTTTCACATGTTAGGCAGCTAACATCCCTATAAAACGTAATTCACACTGTACACAAAGTAGTCATATTTCCTGGATGCCACATTTCAACTGTGTGGGGTAAATATTTTCTAGGAATTAATTACATAAATAAAATGTGAACCTAGATAAAAACTATACATGATTCAAATTTGTAAATAAGATTCAAGAGGAGTTTGGCAGAAATCGTACTTCCACTGGATGAAGTGCCTACTGACCACACAACTTGTCATCAGATGGCCAGCTAAACACACCTCAGCTGGCCACGAATGTGAGCACTTGTGCTAAACTTACTGAACAAAAAGAAAACTCAGTAAAGAATAGATAAAGGTTAGGTTACAGAATAAAATTAAATAACAGCATTACCATCACATTGGTGCCAGTTCTATTTCTTATGAATACATTGGTCTTTGAGGAGAGGGGTGTACTGGGGACTGAACCCAGAGCCTTCACATCTATAGCCCAGGTCCTTTTCAAACTGAATTTCTGACACCCCCCCCCCGCCCCACCTCAGTCTCCCAAAGTGCTAGGATTAGACATACACCATCATACTTGGCTCATAAGAGAGTTTTAAGAAGCAAATTTTACATGATTTTCAAAGACCCTACCATGGATTGATTGCTTGTTCCTCCCAAATTTCTAACTTCCAGCATAAAGATAGTAGGATAAGGAGACCTTAGAAGGTGACTAGGTCATGAAAGTGGGGCCCAAATGAATGGGGTTAGTTCCCTCACCAAAGGAAGCCCAGAGAGCTTTCTTGATGCCTTTCCACTACATAAGGATGTTACAAGATCGCAATCTGCAACCCAGAACTATACCACAGTGGTGTCCAATAACAAAGAAAATTTGTGAGGCCCATATGTGACTTATTGAGCCAAAAGTATTTACTTCTTCACCCATTATAGATACTGTCTGACAATGCACTTACAATGAGAAAGCTTAACTTTCTACCTAATGTCCTTCAGAATTATTTTTATCTTTTACTTTTGTAAAAATAAACTCTAACTTTTTTAGTATGACTACTTTATCTTTTATGAGAAAATGAATCAATAAAAAGAAAGCTTCTTTAAAAGTAAAATGTGAACCCAACAGTGCTGGGCTAAAATAGTCTTCCTATGTGGGTGGAGAGGTCTTCCCCACCTACCAAGAAGAACGCCAGGCTCTCTAGTCCCTTGCTGTGGAAAATACAATGCAGGGTGACTCCCTCATATCCAAATATCTTTCATGCTGAAGCCTCAGTACTTGTGTTGATGTTTGATGGGTGGGAGCACTAGGAAACCTGGAGATCTCTTAATGTTATCAAGTATACAGAATGTGAGAAAAGGTAGTTGAGATCAGAATCTACTAATCTATCCCCTAAATCTACCAACAGTTCTCTAGGCTAAGACCACTGTAACTTTGTTTACTTAACCAGATCACTTCTGATATTTGCTGACTGTCACTCAGGAATGTTACCTACAACATGGGCCACCCATGAACGTACACACTGGTACTGCCCCACTGTCAGTCTTCTCTCTCTAAGCAAGCTACCGAAGTCCCCAAAGGCTCCAGAATGTAGGAGCCAAGTATTTTTCTGTTTTGTTCAGAAAAAGTTCTTTTTTCTTCATTCCACTCTGCCATAAAGTACACAAAGGGCAATCTTGGTATCTGTTTCTCTGAGTTAACAATGTGAAACCCACACCAAAAAAAACCATTCAGGGTACATACATAAGACGTTTTGGACTCAGCATCCCAACAGTCACAGGCATAATGTGCCATCTCATTCTCCATGTGCTGTCGGAAGCGGAGTTTGTCTGGAGATACGCCAACCTTCACGAGGTAGAGGTAGATGCGGCCAATGAAATAGCCTAACACTGAGTTGTTGATCACGCCCTAAACAAATATGCAAGTGAGCACAGAGGAAGGAAAAGGATAAATACACAGTAATAACTTATTCTTAATCTACTGAAAAACATATGAAATACAAGGTAAAGTATTTTTCCCTATTTTCAGAATAATTTCAAGTATCCAGAATGTGATCTTGATCATTTTTAAGTTAATATCAAATTAACTGATAATTAATTGTTCAAAATATATCCAAAATGCTCAACTGAGTCAGCAAAAATTCAGCCTAACACTATGTACCTTCTAAATCTACAGAGCCAAAACTAATAATATCCATAAAAATTCTAATGCCTGGAAAGACATTTCCTTCTGAATTAACAAAATTACTGAGAAACACTGAGGGGATTTTAATGTATTCTTTGATGTACCCACTGAAATTTGTGCACCCTTGACGGAACGTGATACTACAAGAAAGATCTTAGAAACCATCTATACCCAAGTGTAAAATGACCAGTCTCTCCTGAATACTTTTAGGGCCAGAGGAAAGTCACTGCTGGCAGCAGTTATGGTTATAACGTTTTCACTCAGTCATTCTCAGGCAAATGTGCAGAAATTCTGTTACCTGCAAGGCCTTATCCCAACTGCTGTGAGTAACATAAGCGGTTTGAATCCCATGGGCTTGCTTTCCCTGAGTTAAATCCTGCCTCCCCAAAGCTGTACCCACTGTTAAAAATTTGATCAGTGAGGCAGTTCTAATCAAGATCTAGTCTTCAAGTGCTCTGCTACATATCTCTTTCATGCTTAGATCCATGATGGAGAAACTGAGATGTTTGGGAGATTTTCCTTTTCTATAATATTATAAACTCTGTATAAAAACATACTGCAGAGGGGTTAGGGCTGAAGCTCAGTGATAAAGCACCTGCCTAACACACATAATGCTCTGGATTGAAGACCTAGAAATGCAAACAAACAAAATACAACACAATACAATTGTATATAAAAACAAAAAAATGACTGCTGAAATATTTCGTCATCCAGTACACAGAGAACTTGCTAAACGCTGCAAGCCTTGAACAGGCATAATCTAAATTAAGTCCTCTGGAATCTTACCTGTTCAACAGCATCCCCTAGGCGCATTTTCCGAGCAGACTGCCCACTGACCTGGGCTTTTGCTGAATACAAATAAAGGTAAATGTCTGCTACATTCTGGAACTTGGGATGTTCTTTCTCATTGGGATCTACAAAGTGCTCGATTTCTGCCATTGTGAATTCTCTGAAAATAGAAACAAAAGATAAAAATCTGCAAACTTAACAATAAAAACAGTAAGCAAGGCCCCATTTTCAATTGCATCCTATAATGATATATGTCCCAAACTATAGAACTGCTTATCACTAAATAGAAAATAGTTTCCTAAGTGAATGACTAAAACATTTTGGATTAGGTTTCTTTTTGGTTTACTTTTTAAAACATTAGTAACTAGCCTGAGTATACCTCAGTGGAACCAGAAGTAATAATATAATAGTAACTTTATTGCTCACTATGTAAAATAATCAAACTTCTCTCAACATTATTCTTTGTATCTAGTGATACTACTTACAACTGAAAATAGTTTTTTTGTTTTTTTTTTTTTTTGTTTTGGTACCTGGGATCAAATTCACAACCTTGCTGAGCTATATCCCCAGCCCATGAAAATAATTTTTACAAAGCAGATCAATATAGGTTCCCTCTCACCAGGAATCAAACTCAGAGCCTCATGTTTGCCAGGCAGGAGCGGTACCACTGAGCTATGTGGTTAGGGACCACTGTGTCCCTAACACAGTTTTCAAAATTAGGAAAACATAACCAAATCCCATACACACATAAAGGAAAGAGATACTGAATAGGGATAGCCAAATAAAACAGTTTTCCCTGAAGTATCAGTAAGTCTTTACAAATATACACTAAATGAAGCAACCGTTATTTATTCTTGAAAGAATGCAAAATTAAAACTGTAGTGAAATGGTGCTTTTGCTTTTTATACCAATGTGATTTCTTCTTTTTCACTGATCTAAACAAATAAATGATTGGTAATGGCACCATACAGATGTTTCTTTAGAGTAAGCACTACTTAAAAAAGTGTTATTGAAGGCAAAGGACTGAGGCATGAATCGAACAAGCTGACATCAAGCTCACTGCATAATGAGGAAATAAATATGCATATAGCAATGGTTTCCCAAGATTTCTTTGAATAGCAATTTAGTAACTAGTGCAGGGGAGGGAGGATTTCAAGTTAATTTTATGAGCCAAATAAAATAAAATAAAATCACATTTACTAGTATACTTTTGTGATTATCTCATGTGTTTTAGAAATAATGTAAAACTGCTTAAATGGTTTCTAAACACATGAAATACACTACAAAAGAATTTTACTTTTTAAATTTTATTTTTTAATAGTATTCCTTATTGGGGTCTGCAGCACCCAAGTCTTAACTGTCTTTCAACACTTTTTAAAAAATTTCATTAAGTGTGTTGGTACAATTTAGTTATACATCATGATCATATTCAATGTATGGAATTTGTATTTGCATATGATGTCTTGATTCTTTTTTTTCCTCATTCCCATCCCTCCTCTCAAACTCCCTTACACTCCCTTGTTCACAAAACTGTTTTCATTTTATCCTTCTTTTCTGATTTTTTCCTTTCCCTTCCTTCCCTCCCTTTTCCTTTAGAACAGTTTCTTCCTATTTCACAATATCTACCATACATTTTGATTCTATTTACAATTTCAACACTATTAAACATATGCACACAGAAAAGTAAGACAGATACAGTATTTGTTCTCATCAGTTTGTAATTAGGCTAACAGGAACCAAAGAGCTGTACAGTGGAACAGATAAATTAGAACCCTACCCAGAACCCCAAGAAAGGTGCTGCCAAGTCTTCCCTTCTGTTCTATCAGAGAATCTCAGTGACTATAGCTAATAACTGTGCACTTGAATAGTATGTGTGAAGTTTGCTGAGAAGATCTTAACTATTCTTGAGGCAGGATAAAAGAAAGGTAGAAAGGAGGTAAGTAAAAGTGTAATATTAAAATTGTATCTCCTTTAAAAAAAACCAAAAAAACACCGCAACTTCAGGTCACAAAGTTAAGCTTCTGTTTCTTTTCCAGGCAAAATAAGCATGGGCCTTAGAGGCAATAAGTCTATAAATTGGGTTCTGAGTCTGTGCTTTCCTTTTGTAGGCTGCATGCTCTCCTAGCAACCCCATCCACAGGAAGCACACTACTGAGGAGAGTGCATCTCAGCTTCAAACACATATACCTATAAATGGCTTATACATTACAAAACCTACCAAATGGGTAAAACCAACAGACACTGGAATACGCACCCAAATGACCTATCTTAGGACACTCCTAAGCCTCATAAATACAGCTCAAAAGCACAAGGCCCTTCTCTCCCTTTTGAGCACCTGCACTCTCTTTGAGTGTGTACTTTTAAAATTCTACCTAATAAATCCTTGTATGCCTCTTACTGACAGCATCCTGAAGATTCTTTGCCTGTGACTAAAGTCAGTAAAGCTATCTCTTATTCCCTGAGTGGGAATCAAGGTTCCCCAGCTCTGCTTTGGGAACTTCAGTGGACTTCGTCTGGTGACAGTCTCACTACTCCAAAAACCAAAAAAGGAAACGTAACTATTTGAGTCACTGGGTATGTTTTTAGTGGTAATCATTCACAAACCAGAGATAAAAATCAACACAAACACTGGTTTGATCAGCTCTGCCTCCTGTCTTTGAATTTAGACCCTTTATCTGAAACTGTGGAGAACTAAACTACATACTGGTCAGAAAGACAGAACCAGCCATTAAAGATTTTTTTTTTTAAAGTTGTATTTATGGAGTACAAAGTAATTTTATGATTTTTAATATAATATGAAATCCCTGAATCAAGCTAATAAACTAATCCATATTTAATACTTCACAACACCATTTGAGATGTTTATACTCTCAGCAATACTGAAATGCTCAGTATGCAATTAGCTGTAGTCACCATGTTGTACAATACATCTAAAAACAATAATCATTTATTCCTCTAGTATCCAAGACTTTGTACCTTCTGATTATCATCTCCCCACCCAAATCCCTTACTGCTAGTATCCAGTAATCATTCTATTCTCTGTTTCTATGAGTTCAATCGTTTCAGATTTTATTGAAGAAAAATTTTAAAAGCTTCATGCGCACTCTAATAATACTAATTAAACAAGAGAAATTGTAACTATAGAAAAACTATTCACCTCATGATGCTCACCAAGAACCTGTACTGCTAACAAACTAACATACATGGTGATGCTGACTCAAACAAGTGCTCAGGAACTTGAAAAAGTACGTAACAACTAGCAAAGTCCAGACAGGGCACTTTGAATGAAAATGACCCTCAGTTGGGAAGGTCTCTGGCTCTTCCATCCATTAACCCTTGGAATCACCTCAGTTATGAGCTGATTTTCATAGTTCAAAAGCAACAGACTCTGTCCTTACTTCTGAATACTTTTATAATCTTCCCATTAGTACTCCATTTAATTGCAAATCCTCTCCAAAACACTGGCTTTACACAAGGGCAGTCTTATCCAGCTTCCTAAGCTTTGGGAAAGTATGCCTGCCACACAGTTGGAATAGGAAAAAGCAGAAGACAAAAAGAGAAACAAAAAGAAAACCCCCAGGTTCTGAGACTCATACCTGACCACCATTCTTTTTCCTCTTTCTTTTCCTGCACTGGGGATCAAACCCAGAGCCTCACTCACACGAGGCAAGTGCGCTACTACTGAGCCATATTTCAAGCTTTACCCTGTCCTCTCTTCTCCTCATATCCACTCTTGTTTTATCCTCCCTCATCCTGTCCTAAGACAGAGTCTTGCTAAGCTGGTCTCAAATTTACTATCTTCTCACTTCTCAGCCTTCTGACTAGTTGGAGTTACAGATGTTTTCATTCTAACTAAAGTTTCTAATTATCTCTTCTTTCTACATGAAAGCCCAAGAGGGACCCCTCACATTCTTCCTCTAGGTTGTACACATCTTGCCACCACAGAGCCTCCTTCCTAAACCACAAGCCTTAAGCACAGTCGTCTAAGGCAGGGGCCACTCCTCAAAGGATACCACACAACTAAGGTCAGGCAGGTGCTATGCGTGCTTTGATCTGGAGTCAGTGGCTGGGACATACCATGACTGAAGTCTGTAATTACAGCAAGTAAAACAGGAAGAGAAGAAATAGGTGAGATGCTGGGGCTGGGAGAACACCTAGGCAGGAACTAAAGTTAAGTGGGATCGGACAACCTATTTTTATATGGAATGTATCACTCTAAGATGAGATCAGTAAGTAAATATATAGAAATCACAAAAAGCTTAAATCATGAACAGTTACATCACAGTGAGTTTCTGAAGGAAAACAGAACTGAAGAGTGCCAGTGTGCCTTCCCACACAACCCTGGACACATCAGACAAAAGCATGCTGTTATCTGACTGAGGGCAAGTATCTGAATTACAGTAGGTGGGGGAAGCTTGCTAGGTGGCCTTTCTGTCACAAAGGTCCCAAAGATCTGGGGATGTTTCCTGGGTTATTTTCAAACACCTTCCAGCAGTGCTGTCTCCTAGACACCTAGAAGGATTCTTTTGTCATAACTACATCCCCACACACACACTTACATACATCGCCATGACCAGAACAGCCCAAGTTTAGACAATCAGGGTCTTAACATTCTCAAAACATGATGAACAAGACAAAAAGGTAATTCTGAAGCAAGTAAGAAGTAAGGTATTTCCTGTGCCTCCTTCCTTCCCTTGTAAATTCACTTACAGTCATTTTTGAGGAGATGTCTGGAGATTATAAAACAGGAAGAGCACAGAGAAGACCAAAAAGTAAAGGAACCCTGTTTCAAAATAGTGAGCTTTCGTTTCCATTTCAGTGACAAGGGTAGTACCTGACTCGGATAAGCCCAGACCGAGGGGAGATCTCATTTCTAAAAGAATTTCCAATCTGGGCAGCAGCAAAAGGCAACTTCCCTTGATTGAATTCCAAAAGTCGTTTGAAATTCAGGAAAATCCCCTGTGCAGTTTCTGGTCTCAAATACCTATAAATTTAAGTAAATGAGTCTGTTATAAATACAAGAAATTCTGTTTTCTAACAAATAAAATTTTAGATACAAATTTTAAAAGTCCCAAATATACCATTTTCATAACACAGCTGCATAAGCCTAAAATAAAGTCTTAGAAATAGGTATTTTCTTCAGCAGCCAATATTATCATAACAAGTTCTGGAAAACAGAACAGCTACTTCAGTGGTAAAACACTTCCATCAGGATTCCTCCAAAACTTCTGCTGTCCTCTTGAGCAACCATTTACATCAAGGCAGAGGACCATTTTAGTTCCTTCTGAAAATAAGACCCATGGCTGCTAACCCACATATTAAAACATAACTGTGGGGTCAAATGAAGTCCGCACAGGCTGAGGCTTAACAGTGGAGCTCGTTTATCATTCATAATCATCCTGCCAACAGGCAACTGTCGGTGCTTCTCCTATCACTTTACTCTCTGGCAGTATTTTATATTTTCAGCCAGAAGCTTGTGTATTGCTCTATTATTTGAAACAGACAGCCAATATTATAACCATCTCCTACTTCTCAATTTCACAGAACACATTCTATGCAAAATAACCACTAAGAAAATATTCCCAATGTCCTACTTCAAAGTATTTTACTAAAATAACTTTAAAACCTAGGGAAGGAGAAGTCCTAAAATTTTACCATCTTCTCACTCTAACAGACTGACTCTTCCATTTTTTGTGATCCCTTCCAGATTTCATCCAAATATAAGTATTTTATATAAGCTAGTTTATATGCATATTTATAAGCAGCATGTATAAATTATGAATTCATTTTTATGCTTACTTTTCTATATTCTAAACTATAAAATTTTCTCACTTACAGTGGCAGAGCATTATACTAAAATGATCTCTGTTTTTAATAATTTGTTTGTTACTCTCAAATTAATGGACAAGCTATTTTTATTTTTAATGCACAGTTTTTATAAGTGTAGTTTTGTTTCTTTCTGAATTGTGCCTAGATAAATTCCTAAGAAGGTCAGAGGCTGGGTTCCAATTTATGATTTTCCATATGCATCATCAAAATGAAAGGCTTCTCGATGGCTTCTCTGCATGAAATATCCCAAGTCAACCTAGTATCTTATTAAAATAATTGTATGATACATTTTTTCACAATTAGCAGAAACATTGATTTATCTAGCCTCTTCTAGCAAAAACACTTTAAAACAAGACTATAAAAAAAAATCTGATACTATGAAGTGGAACACAGGTTAAGTCTTTTAACATTAAAACAAAGAACTTAGAGATACTGCTTTTAATTCCAATCCTACTGTACACTGTCCAGGTGTGCTTTAGTCTATGAAAACCACATCTTTCAAATCAACGGTCTATACCTATGCTGTCCACTATTCACGTGTATTTAAATTTAAATTAATTAAAATGAAATAAATTTAAAAGGTGAATTCTTCAGAAGCATTAGCCCTACTTCAAGAACTAAATAGTTACATGTTGCTAGTAGCTACCATGGACAGATTTTATTTTTTTACTTGCGTTTAGTCTTTCTTTTCTTTCTTTTTTTTTTGAGACAGAATCTTGTTATGTAGTTCACGCTGGCTTCAGACTATGATCCTCCTCCCTCAGTCTTAGTGCTGGGATTACAGGCTTGAGCCATCACACCTGGCTGTCAGCACAGGTTATAGAAAGTTCTACTGAACTTTTATCACTGCAGAAAGTTCTACTGAACAGTCTAGATTTAATGGTTTCTAAGGTATACTTCAACAAGCAGTTGAATGACCTTCAAACATCACTGTTTAACTGTCCCTTCTGCTCTATGCTGCAATAATTGAAGGACCTAATGATCAGATATTTACACATATTTTACAAAAAAAATTACACTAAAAAAGAGATTATACTAGGAAGAAATTAGAATAAACAACACTATCATTACTTCTCTTTTAACATACTCATCTGCATATTCTATATATCAATTTTCTAAACTGTTCTTTCATAGCAGATATTGTAAGCAACTTTAGTAACTGTTACACAAGTAGAAAAACAGTAAGTGATACATACCCAGGCATGTTTCCTCCAGGCCCAATGAAGGTCTTGAACATTAAGTTAAAAGGTACTGGGGGAGACAGCTCATTTCCAGTACTCGGGGATTTAACATTATAGTTCACAAAAAGATCCCCAAGTTCTTGCTGTCCATAGTTATCAAGCTAGAGAATATATCAAGAAAATAATTAATATAAAACAGAAAGGGAAAAAAGACCTAAAATAAAGTATTACATATAATTCCATTCATCCATTGCTACAGTTTACACACAATTCAACATCAGCTTTAACCTAACCTTCAGGATATCTGTATGTTTCAAACCATAACTAGGTTACACACCTTGCATTTCCAGAGAGAGAAATGTAAGACCTTTCTGGGACTGACCTAATACTCACATACCTGTCATTTCACAATGTAACACAAAGGAAGATACCCCTTGGTTTAATTATAGGTTAGCAAGAATCTGAAACCATACACTTAAATAACTTTTCAAAGTTGAGTATTACTACTCTGAGCAAATTTAAGAGACACATTTCCTTGCCTAATAACTATATATGCAACTTCCTTTCCCGCTGGATACTAAGCTCTAGGGGCCAGGGATTTGATCAGAGGCACAAGCACCTGCCTAGCAAGTGTGAGGTTGTAAGTTCGATCCCCAGTACCAAAAAAAAAAAAGATAGAAATTGTGTCCTATTAATTTCTGTATTTTTCCATTCTATATATTGATAATCAATAACAATCCTATAAAATGATGTATGAGCTCCAGTTTGAGAATTTCAAATAACTATGACAAAACATCTACTAGTAAAGAATACTTAAAACTTTAAAAAATCTTCTGACAGAAATGAAATATTTCAATAAAATCAACTTATCACCATATGAACCAAATGAGAAAGACTTATGTTAATCTCCAGTACTACCTTTTATGGGTCATGTGACTTAAGATTATGTTGTGATCTAATTTGTAATTTTGTTTACTTGTTAAATGGGAGAACAGCATTTATCCCCCTAATAAAGCTACTATGAAGATTAAATACAATACATAATGTACTTAGCATAGAACATGGCACAATAGTACTTATTTGATAAAGGGTGACTATCTTGGCTCCCATCGTAAAATCAAAGGGCATTTTCACTTCACAAATAGTCAATTCACACTAACCACATGTTCCAGATGTGAATAAGTAATTTAGAAAATTACTTTTAGGCTTTCCATGGACTTTCTAGGGAAAATTCACAAAATACTATGTCATTACAGAATCAATAAGGAATCTGTTCAGGTGACCTTCAAGATAATGAATATCATAAATGTACCTGTCTCCTTGCTTCAGAAGAAAGTCAGAGTCTAAGGAATGTGGAGGACTACCTGGATGACTCTCCTTGAAAGCAGAGCAACTATCTCTATTTTAGCTAAACCTGGCCCTATTTCCACATATTAATACAGAGCTAGCTAGAAGTTTTCCTTATCCCTTGAATTTTCTTTATAAAAGACTGGTCCAATGATTTGAACCAAGTTAAATCAGTTATATCCAGGCCAAACTAGACAAATAACAGTCCTTCTGCTGGATAGGTGCACAGCGAAATGTTGCTTCCTGGTTTCCCTGGCCCAGAGGACCAATCAGAGTGCAGATTTAAGATCTACCAGCAGCTTCTTATTCATTTACTGGGGGAGAAAAGACAAATTTAATTCCCACTGAAATTTCCACTCCTTCCCTTAACCCCACACATGAACCTGGTAGAGATGAGCCTTAAAACAAGGAACTTTAGTTTTTCCCATAGACCTACTTGTACTATTAAGCTAACTGGGAAATCTTTCACAGATTGATCGATATGGGAATGTAGTAAATGATGGCAATGTAGTAAATAGTCAACTGTGGTTGTCTGCTTGGCCAACTAGACCCACCTCCGCAGCTCTGATAGGCTTAGACTCCTCTCAGTCTGTACCACTTCCTTACGTCAGCCATAATGGACAGACAGGTACTGTAATATCATTTATTGTACCCATTCTTGTCAATCAGTGAGGCATACACCTTATGAAAGGATGGGACAGTTACTTGTCCCCCTCAGATGTGTGTATCACCAGCTAGCAGAACGATGACTAAGATGAGATATCAAGAAAGCAAAGGTTTGAGTAAAAATTTGCAGGGCTGTACTTTTCCAATTGCACCTTTAATTAAGCAAAATAGATCTGAAGTTGGATTTACAATTAAAGCCATTGGTACTTTTCCACAGAGAAAGTTAAGGATTTTATCAACATTGGTAGAAAAACAACTGCAATTGGATCATCTCAAGCCTACTTCATTACAACTCTTTCTAAAATCACTAAAGGCTACAGTAAGTAGAACTGCTCCATCTTTAATGATCATCTTAGAACCCCTTCTAATCTCCCAGGTTCACTGTCATTAGGTAATTATAATGCAGATGTTCTTATAAATCTGGTTTCCATTTTTAATAAATTGAGAGACTCCCATAAATTTTTTCATCAAAATTCTAAATCTCTGCAAAAGGAATTTAACATTACCAGAACACAAGCTAGACAAATTGTGATGTCATGTCCTGCCTGTCAGCTCATTCCTAGGCCTATTCCTCAACAGAGTTGCAATTCCAAAGGTCTTAGAACCAATCAGTTATGGCAAACGAATACTGTCCAAATAACCTCTTTTAACAAACTTAATTGTATTTATGCCACTATAGATACCTTCTCACGTTATTTACCTATCATTCAGGTAAATAAAGTCAACATGTTACAGCATTGTGTATCAGCCTTTGCTAACTTAGGGGTGTCACAAACAATAAAACTTGGTATCATTCCTGTTTATATTAGCAAACATTTTCAGGGTTTTCTTAATAACCGAAATATAACGCATGTTACAGGGATCCCCTGTTATCCACATGGTCAAACAATAATCAAACACACTCATGTTACACTAAAAAAAAAAAAAAAAAAAAAAAAAAAAAATCAACTAGCTAAACAAAAGGGGGAACACAGGGTCAAAACTTTGCTACACATGTTTTAACTTTTCTGAATCCTGCTTGGCACGACCTCCAAACAGGTGTTTGAAATGGTCCCGCACCACCTTCAAACTGGGGGCAAGGACATGCTTTTATTTCCACAGATAATTGGGAGACATTATGACCATCAGAGCTGGTCTGTGGCTGGAACCCAACCCACCTGCACAGCATGTTAAGCCCTCTGCCAAGACCTCAAGCAATGAACCTGACAGCACATCGTCCCACTTGTCCGGGGAAGGCCTGCAAGAGACCGTCCATGAGGCTCACCACTTAGTTAACAGCCAGGGTTTGGTCCAATCACTTGAAAATCTTTTTTGTTGCAATGCTTGCTCTCCTAGCAGCTACTGTATGTGCTCCTGAGGTTCAGGGAGAAGCATATTGAACCCACATACCTAACCCACCCTTGCTTAGACCCTTTTATGTGGCTATACAAGGCCCTAGTGAATTTCCATTCTGTAGTATATTATTCTATTCTACATATACTATTCTGCCCAGCCCACAAACTTTAATGCATTTATAAGAATAGGGTAAGCTTAACATTGTCTATTTTGTATATCCACCTTTATGTGTAGCCCAGCTACAGCAAAATTCTAGCCCTTGCACGTCAGCTGTGGATCAGACTTGCAGAGTACACCTGTCTAAAGGACAATTTGCCTTATTAACCTTAAACTCTATTCACGCAGATAATCTTATAACAGATTTTAAACCTAACATTCCTACCTGTATTCCAGAAGGTCACACATTTTGAGAAAAGTGATTTGGGCCTTTGGCAGATTTACAGGGATACACACTGCGGACGGACTATAGACAAATTCAATTATTCAATGGTAGATTGGTCACCCAGAGGATTTTTCTGGGAAAAGATCAAGATTGGCAAGAGATTTCCTTTATAGGTTCTCCAGACTGTACCCCGACCTCAGAGGCCTTATCCAATGTTACATGGTCAGGTAGAGGCCTCAATTCTGCTGTCCCCAGACTCATCAATGACAAAAAACTGAACCCATACAGCATACTTCATGGGAATTAACTCTACCTTTTCATGCTGGGTGGCTGCAGACTGGGCATCTGTGATCAGTAAATGGAGGAAAAGTCAAAGTAGTATTATGGGTCACAGGTATATAAAAGTAAACATAGGGATTTATGATCCTCATGTACTGTTAACAGGGAAGACAGAGTAACAACAAAATATGGTTTCATATACTAATTGTTATCTAACTCACTGCATGATGTCTAAACATCTAATGACTCCGTAGTAGTGATCATGAACAAAATGCTCGGGGTTTGGCTTCTAGTCAATCTGATGGAGCCATGGTATCATTTGCCCACATCTCTTTTGGAAGAGACCGTAAGAGATTTAGCAGTCGGACCAAGAGGATGATTGGGTTAATTATAGCCAGGCTACCCTCCACAGTCCTTTGGATAGCTAGTGTAGCTACTGGCTCTACAGCATTAGCTCACTCAGTACAGTCTGCTCACTCTGTAGCCAATCAGACAAGAACTGCTGATGAGAGCTGGAAATGCAGTGAGAAACTGATATAAAATTGCAAAACCAAATAAGCATCTTAGAGACCTCTATCCTTTGAAAGATCAAATTGTGGGGCTGGGGATTTAGCTCAGCGGCATAAGTGCCTGCCTTGCAAGCAGGCAGCCATGAGTTCGATCCCCGGTACCGATAAAAAGGAAAAAGACAAAAAAAAGATCAAATTGAAAGTTCCCAATTACAACAAGGGTTAAGATGTCACTGTAACATGACTCCCTTTTGTATCACCCATTTACCATACAATAAAAGCCTATATCCTTGGGGAATAATCAAAAAACATGTACAGAGAACAACCCATCAAAGTGAGGATATAGACACTCTTCAAAGAAAAGTGCTGTCCCTGTCACAACAGTCAGTCACATTCAATGCCCAAATTAAAGACTGGGATAAGTTTGCTGATGCTGAGAATTCATTTGCATACCTAAAGGCTCACCTTTGGTTTTATATTGGAATTAGTGTGTTCATTCTCTACTTATAATTCTTCTCATTGTAGTGTGTCACAGAGGATTCACAACCCATAGACAACTAGAGGCCACACAGTCACGAATAACCCTGCACTAGATTCTTCAAAATAAAGGAGGAACTGTGGAGGACCACCTGGATGACACTCCTTGAAAGAAGAGCAATTATCTCCATTTTGGCTAAACCTGGCCCTATTTCCATGTATTGATACATACAGAGCTGGCTAGGACTTCTCCTTATCCCTTCAGTTGACTTTTTAAGCAATGCAAATTGGTCTAGCTGAGGTGCTGATATATAGTCCTTAAAGCAAGGTGACAGTGTTACTGCACCCCTGTTGCTCCCCAAAAACATAGGTAAGCCAGGCAGGAGGAAGAGACATGCTCCACACTGTCAGTTGTGACTAAGCCTTGAGATAAAGAGGCTATGACTCCAATGGCATAAAAAATTATACACATCAGACTTGAAGCACGGACCCCAAAATATTAGATCCCACCTCAAACAGTGTTATGCAGATTATTCTTTCTGCATACTCTTCTCTCTGCATACTGCAGAGACAATCCTAGCCCTGCTCCCAGAACCTCACACTTCCTGCCTTCTCACACTCACTCATCTTCTGGCCACTTCTTTCTTCACAAATGAATAAAATCCCGGTTTGGCCCTGGGTAGAAACCTTTTGCTCGGAATTTAGAACCCCCTTGGCCCCACACCACTATAGATAAGCCTCATGTCTTTATTCTCACCATGGGTTGCACTAAAAATGGTACACTGGAATTAACTTGATAGAATTCTAACAACTTTTCCATGGAATTACAAACTTCCTGGATCTCAACAAGATCTGGGAAAAGTTCTCTATGGAAGAACATCTATTTCTCATGTAATTTGAGAAATATAGTGCTTTTCAATAAAAGAAATGAAAAGGGAAGTAAAAGATTCTGAGGATACAGAGAGTAATCAAAATCTCTATGCAGAGGAACCTGGTAATAAAATTACATTTGTATTTTTGACCCAGGAATCTCATTTCCAGGAGCCTATCCCAAAGATTAAAACAGCAAAAAACATGAAACACATAAGCACAAGGTTATCTAAGAAGCACTCTCTGCAAAGGTAAAGATGGGAAATAACACAAATTTCCATCAGTGAAAAACTGGTGATATAAATTACAGGAATACAGTGAGGAATTATGGAGCTATCTGGTAGAATAAAGAATAGCTATGTATGCTGCTATAGAGACCCCCTCTGCAATATTTTGTTACTGAAAAAAACACCACAGTAGAAAAAAGTGTATAAAATTCTATCATGTACCTAAAAAGGGGGCAAATATATATAAATATACACAAAACTGCTTACTTATGGGATCAGAGGAAACAGGAACAGACATTAGTTCTACTTAAATATACCTTGTTTTATTAATTTTGGAGTTATGAAAATTTGACACAATTATAAAATAAATTTTAAAATGAAAACCTAAAAGCCGAAAGTTCTAAACCACTGTCCATGGATAAGGACCAAGGATCTTTGGAGGAATGGCTTATTGCATGTCTGAAACAGGAAATATGTAAGTTGAGCCTGAAAGACTTCTAGTGCTCCATTGAAAGGACTCAGCAGAAAACTGAATGTCAAAGATTGAACAATTTAACTATCAATAAGGCAATAACTGAAGCTGACTGAAAAAAGATCAAATGTTTTAATCTATAAGTTTATAACAAAGAAGGGAAGGACAGAGACAGGCAAGATCTTACTGTGCATTTCTGAAAGATGCTCGGCAGTCTGCAAACTAGCTATAACTAGATTTGGGCACAGTGGATCAAGCACATATTCTCACTTTTCACAAACAATGTCTCAGACAAACACAATAGTAGACAATGGAAAGTTTTCCCATTTTGTTTTTCCAAAGCAATAAAAGAATAATAAAATCGTTTTGGACTCCAACCAATTAATGGATCTAGACAACGGTTGTCACATACAAAAGCACATAAAACTGCTACTTCTTGTTACAAATTCTTGGTCAAGCCTCTAAATTTAATATAGAAACAGTTAAAAATTTTAACGCCACTATCACAATACAATCAGCCAGGAGAACATGAACAATGACAAATATATGATGACGTTAAAATTAATAACATTTCCCAAGGCATAAGGATTATGCTTCACTTCAAAATAATTTTTATCTTTTAAATAGATACATATATATAAATATATGCATACCTACATATATAATGAAATATTTACAGATGTAATAAAATGTCTGAAACCTGCAAAAATTGGGGAGAAGTCAGGAAAGATGCAAAAAATTTGAAAAGATGTGGTAACACTGAAGAGGTAATGAGTACATAAGTGTTATTTTTAATGTTTTCATTTTAGAACGTTTAAAAGTCAGGTTTCAAACTAGTACATTCAAGAGATGTGTTGGCCAAAACAGAGAAAAGAAATGAGAGAATTAATCCTGAGCTATTAAATTCATAACAGAACAAAATTATTCCTCCAGCAAACATTCTTATGTACTCAGACAACAGATGGGCTTTAGTTGAGTCTACTGCTACCATTTCCAAATACTGCACCAGTTCCCATGGGCCCCTTACTTGTCCCTGAGGATTATACTGACAGCTGTGTACAAACACATACATATATGCTGCCCTAGAAAATAAAACAGAAAGCCAGTGCTCAAACTATAAATTAAGATTCAACAAATCAAGTAGTTCTGAATTTCAACAATTTACTTAATAAATGAATGAAACCATTTACATAAGGTCAAAGACATACACACAAAACTTTAGAAAGCTTGAAATTCTAAATAAGAAATGTAAGATTTATGGGTAATTAAAGGCATCTTTCACTTGTTTCTAGTATAACTCAAGCCTTTGGAAAAAGGAAAATGAGTATGTGGCTATACAAGCATCAAAACACACAGAGTGATTTTCTAACCATAATCTTCACATATTTCACAAGAACCAAAATAAACTGGCAGATGATTATTCATTGTTAGATTAAGATCACAATTAAAATGAAGAAAAGAATTTCTCGGCTAATATTGGAAACCTAGATATCACAGAGAAAAAGTAGCACGCTTAAAAACAATTAGACCAACGGTGGAAAAGTATCCACTTGGGGCTGGGGATTTAGCTCAGCGGCATAAGTGCCTGCCTTGCAAGCAGGCAGTTGTGAGTTCGATCCCTGGTACCGATAAAAACGAAAAAGACAAAAAAGAAAATGAAAAAAAAGTATCCACTAATTCCAAGAAAAAAAAGCAAAATGTTAGAAGTTCTATATTCAGCTTCAGATATACCAATGTAAAGACAACACAACACTAAAATTTAAGAGGTGAGCTTCAGTGGATTTTATGATTAAACATGGTATTGGTGAAATTCTTTGTGTAAATGTACACTTCATTGATGAGGTGAGAAACCAGTAACATGTATTATTACAAATGTGTGTCTCCCTAGGAAGAGGATGTGCAGTTTTCACTATAAAACTTTTTTTTTTATGGTGCTGGAGATGGAACCCTGGGCCCTGCACATGTTAGGCAAGTGCTCTACCACTGAGCTACATCCACAGCCCACTTCCCAAATTCTTAGTCTGTGACTCACCTCCCCACAAAAAGATTAAGAACTACTGCTCACACTTGGGAAAAAATGCAGAATAAATTATCTTCATTTTGCTATACTTGTATTTGTCGAATTAAGTACAACTTATAAAATTTTAGGATTACAGGTAAACTAGAAAAAGCAAAGGTAGAAGACTATGCTTTAAGAATAACAGCACAAGGGCTGGGGATTTAGCTCAGCGGCATAAGCATCTGCCTTGCAAGCAGGCGGCTGTGAGTTCGATCCCTGGTACCGATAAGAAAAAAAAAAAAGAATAACAGCACAAAATCAGACACAGTCCAACCAAATAGAGGTCAATAGGGGATGTTCACAAAGCCATTGGTCCCAAAAGCTCCACCCACATCAACACAGAACACTGTTCAGTGGCAGTGACTCCTCTGGTTTTGGCTATTAAATCCAGACAAGTGATTTCCAAGAACAGATAACTGAATGCTTTACACTGAGGTGGCAGTTTGGCATGAAATGAAGGGCTAGTCACCAAAATCAAGACAAAGGAGACTCTATGGCATGAGAGACAGAAGTAAATTCTACTTCTTTACCATAGTGGCCAGGATCAACATAACACAAATTCAACAGTTACCACATGCAGAAAGACAACCTCCACTCTGTCACTCTGAGAACATCTCCACAGTCCTCACCTGGGCCAAGACACTTTCCATCTCTGATTTCTTCTCAGCAGAGCACTTCTTATCAGACATCAATTTCTGTAAATGAGCTACAAGAACAGCGTTGACATGTGTCATTGTCACTCAATGGGAAAAATAACTTCTGAGTTTCAATGTTGGGCAATTAAAAAATAAATGTAAGGTTTATGTTCTTAACTTATGTGAATCCTACAATTGATTTTATAGGGACAGTTATAGTACTATTTTGACTTATTCGCTAATTAGAAAAATTTTCTGTATTTTATTAAAAATAGAGGGGTTTAATCTGTATACTTAAGATCTGTGTACTTTACTGTTACATCTTCACCAAAAAAAGGAAAAATTTTGAGAAAAAGTTTATTTTAAACCCCATTTTAGATCAATTCTACTTGAAGAAGATGAAGAATCATACCTTTTAATAGATGGTCAGCACGAAAACACTCTCCATTTTTTACATCTTTCACCATGAAGTCAGCAAATTTGTCTACATGGCCAGAGGTCCTAAGTTAACAAATGCCAAGGCAATTTGTCATTCTTATACAAATCAACACGTAGATACAGTGGTACCTCTGTCCATGAATGCTTCTGCTTGCAAAAAATTTGATTTCTAAGCAGAAGCATTTTGAAAACTTTTTGTTTGTTTGTAAACTGTGCATCAGGTGACCAACACGATTATAGCCATCTTTCCCAGACAAACATGAACAAGAAATCATAGACTAAATTAATGAACCAAAGTACCACTGTATATTCTTATAAGGCAACTACCCTCCTTATATTCACAGTTTATATCTGTGGGTCTCAAATATGGAAATTCCCGTATGTATAAAAATGATATGTTTATGAGAAAATAGCAATATGTGCCAGAGAAAATTCTTCCTCAAGTCTATTCTTATCCTCTCCCAAGTTCCTTTGGGAAGAAAGATGCTAACTATACCTTTTTACAAACTGTCATAAAGTCGTACTACATTTTAGGATCACTTAATTGATGCCTATGTCATTATTATTCATGACCTAACAAAGGCCAAAGTCATCAAGAATTTGACCAGCCAAGAATTCATGATGGCTCAGGATACACTGAACCTTAGGGAGAGTTTTCTGCCACTGAAACCTGTAAGAAAACTGATATACCTCTACACAGTTCTTATTAGCCTAATAAGTACCTAGAAGATTAAGTAGTCCTTATCTCACAGACCTACCACCAGGAATTTCTCTCCTCTTAATTGGCTAAAAGTGTCAGAAGAACCTAACAGGTACTAATAATAAAAATTACCAGGGGCTGGGGATTTAGCTCAGCAGCTTATATAAGCACTTGCCTGACAAGTGCGAGGTCATGAATTTGATCCCCGGTACCACACACCAAAAAAAAAAACCTCTTTACTAAGCAATATTAAAATGAATAATGATACTATAAAATGATAAGAATTCCTCTGTCAGTTACTGAAATTCTGCATTATTTAGTAGAAATAATCTTTATTTCTGGACTCAAATTTCAATGAAATAATAAAGCACTGAATATAGATATACACTTTTACTCAGAACTTCTGAGAACTCAGACTGAGGAATAATCAGGGATACACTCAAAAGCCCACACATAAGGATGCAATCAAAATTCAAAGTATCTTAGATGACTACAATATAGTATTAACTCAAGGACAGCAAATCCACAAACAGAACACTATGTTGTCATTAAAAATGCTTTAGATAAATATTTAATAGTACAAGTAAATGTTCACTTACATTAAATGAAAAAAAAAAGCAGTGTGGTAACAATTCAAATACACAAAAACATATAGGGAAAAAAGAGTGGAAGCATAAACAACTTTAAAAGGCTATCTGCAAGCCATAGGTATATAATTTCCTTGTTTGTTTGTATTTTCCAGGTTTTCTGAACAACAGTAGCTTCTGTCACCAGAAAGTTAGTTAAATACATATAATAAAGACCTTCCACCTCAAAGATGGGTCTTACTTCAAAACAGGCTCAGGGGTGAGCATAGTGCAGTCAATCTCCAGGATCTGCTCCTCCTGAATAAAGTGCTGCCTCCAGGTCTGAATAATGTTGTTCTTCAAAGCACATCCAACTGGCCCAAAGTCATACAAACCACTGACACCTATAAATACAAGAGGAAATACAAGCTTGTCACTCTGAATAAATGACAACAAGGTAAGAAAAACTGATACCTCTAAGACTTTACAGACTCCCTGAAAAGGTCTTTAAAGTCCACAATTCAAGCCCCTTCTGACAGAAGTAAAATTTTAAAAGCTTTTACTTTAATTACTATTTGTGTAGGATTAACCTCAAATTAAAGACACTAAAAATTCCCCCATATGCTTTCACCCAGGAAACAGATGAAAAAGTAAGATCATTTTCTGACAAAAGAAAAAGAAAATCATTTGTCATAAAAACTGGTAACAACGATCTAAAATTTCAGCCCTTAGTCCTCTACATTATTCTTGGGCAATTCAGCCACTATTTAAATCTCAAGAAGCTACTAACATTTAGAGATTTTCTTACCCGAATGAAAACCATGTTTCGCTGGCAAAGTACTAAAACTAAACTGTTTAGACGATCTCTTTCGAGTATGAAATTATCATTCTACATTTAAATCAATGAAATTATATTCACCTGCAGCCATTTAGAAAGATGGTTTAGCCACTCACCTATTGAGGATGTTTTCTTGTGGCAGACGTCCATAAAGAATAATCCAAGGACTCTGCTTTACCACCATCCTTGTGTAAAGGGCACAATAGAACCAGCCACTACATGGTCCTCTACTGCTCCCAAGTCCCCAATATATTTTATCAATGCATAATCATGTAATTATATGAACACATCACATGCTTAATTAGCTGGGTCCCCAATAGTTCTCTACATCCTAATGAAAAAAAGGAATCTTCAAAAATAAACAAGATGGACAAAAATAAGAAGCATCACACCAAATGGTAACTATAAACTAACAAAAGCAAAATATCAACCCTCTGCATGCCTGATACAATTAGATACCAAGTGGCAAGCCATGTTCTTGATCTAAGGCCACTAATAATACAACTGTCTTTTTGCCAATCGCCTACCTCCATAAATAGCAAAAGCTTGATCATAGAAAAACCTCCTCTTCAAGGTATCTTCCATTTTTGATCTGTCTACAATATCATCTTTGGGCTGTAATGCTAGCTCCTGTAGAAAAGTAAATAAAAAATGTTTAATGGAGAAGTGAGTAGGACTCTGAACCTATACATCTAAGTTTAGTTTATTACTCAGAAGAATTCAATATAAAATTTATCAGACAAGATTTTGAGAAGTAGAAAAAAGTTAAAAGTGAAAGCCTCAGTTTTCCATTCTTTGACAGGCAAAAAACGGGCAAATATCTCTAATTATTTAGGAAAGTATATAGTAATTTCTAAAATTATAAGACTAAGCTTATTTAGATACAGACAGTAATAAGCAGTATCTAAATTTTTAGTGGATCACTGTAGTAAAATGGTGACATCATTTAAATTTGATGAGTTAGTAGACAGATAAAAACAACAAAATCATTATTTCCAGGCACAGTAAAATTCACAAAGAATTTCCTTCCAGGAAATTTATGATACATATTTCATGAATTTCATCTGAGACGTGGCAGGCGTGGGGTCAAAGGAAGTCATGGGTCAAGAAGGCTGCAAGGTAACAAGGAGGAGAAATCATTCTACTTTTTAAATTTTATTGGTACATTTTAGATATACGTAATGATAACACTATATGGAATTTGTACCTGTACATGATATATCTTGATTCTTCCTTTTTTTTTTTTCCTTCCTGGAAATAGCATTCTTACAAAACAGATAAATCAAATGACACTTTTTCAGAAACTTTTCTAAATCTCTCAAAGAAATTTTAAACACAGAACAATTCTGTACCTACTTCCGCACCCCATTTCATCATCCCAGTGCTCACCTTTGCTTCCAGAACTCTCTTCCGGGCTTTGAGCTCAGCTACTGCTCTGTCTACATCTACTTGAGGTGCTTTATCTTCTTTCAGCTTTCGCACAAGATCTCCCTAGCCAACAAAGAGAATATACATTCAAGAATGGTTTCAGAAGTCAAGAAATGTTAGCAATATATGGGGCTGAGGGGAGCTGCGTTGAGATGGGATCTCATTTCCCTACTTAAGCTGGTTTAGAATGCTAGGCTTAGGTGATTCCCCTGCCTCAGCCTTTTGAATAGCTAGCTACAGGGTGTGCCACTCCACCTGGCTGAGGGATATGTTTTTAAGTGTGCCTCTAAAAAGTGCCCATATAAGAATAATACATTCAAGTGTTTATCATGTGAGAAGTCATTATAAATAACTGAAGGTTTCTACCTTCAGCACTTACTATTCAGATAAACATATAGACGACTTAACAAATTACTGTGCTCAAATAGTGAGTTTTGGGAGTAGGGGTGGGCCAAGACAGGGAAAGTGGAAGAGGCATTTTGCAAAAACAATCACATACATCGTATGGAAATGAATCACTAAATAAAAAGGTTTTTTAAAAAAACTTATGGAACAGGTTCTAGAGCAGATCAGACACAACTGAAGAGAGAATTAGTGACTGAGGAAAAGCCCAATAGAAATTAACCAGCACAGTTCAGAAAGAATAAAAATATGAGATAAAGAGACAAGAAAGAGTAAGATTTTCCCAACCAGAATGTAGAAGAATGAATAAAAACCATAAGAGTCAACATTTGTAAAGACAATGACTGTAAAATTTCCTGTAATTCCTCAGACATGAATTCCCGGAGGTAGGAAGCACAAGAAAATCTAAACATACAAAACAAATCCCCTACCCAGACTAGGCTGCTTCAATGGAGTAGTCCAGTCAAAGGTAACCATGTCAATATCAGGCCTGGCTGTAAATTGCCCAATTCATGTTTTTCCTCTCATTTTGTAAGCCTTATTTTACAAACACGAAGCATCCCTAATTTGGAATCTGTTCCTACCTAGTGCCTTTAATGATCATCCTCTTACCTCCAGGGGTTCCCCTGCACTGGGTGACATTCTTTCATACCATGCATGATGCTGCTAACTACTCCACCTGACAACTGCTCCTTAAGGACATTCTGTTCCTCTCGAAGCTGTGTGGAGTAGAGGCTGATCTCTCCCTTGTTCCTCAAGAGCTGGCAATGGGACAGACGCTCTCCCTATTCACCTCCCTCTTCCTCTTCCCTCCTGCTAGGACTCTCTCTTCCTTTGAAGGGTTCCTTTGCCCCTTGCTGTTGTCATCTTTCAAGGTCCCACCTACTCCCTTCATTTAATGGTACTCTCTCTATTCAACAGAATGTCTGGGTCCAGAGGTTAAGGTGGGGGCTACATCTTCCAAACCCTAAAACTTACATATAATTAGAAGTACTTTTCTACAGTTTTATCACACTGAATTTTCAGAGATGCACATGATTTTAAAAGAAAACTAAAGCTAGTTTGCTTAGAATTTTACAAAGAAGTGGTTATTCTTCAAGGGAAAAGCTTTTCATTGTTCGAATAAACAACATATATCCTCACTGGCAATGCTGATGGTATCTAAGCAACATCACGACGCTGACTGGTATCACAGCCTTAGCGAGTCCTCAGAATTCAGTAAAGCCTATTGGTTTAGTAGTTCCTTCTTCCCTTTCTCTACCTGTCAGGAAAGCTATCTCCTATCTCACAGGTGTTCCCTGACAGAGCTGTTGACTGGGAATAAGAGGCCTGCTCAAAAGAGCCTTTGTTGGGAAGAGTAACAGGATCTCCTTCTGACTGTCGGCAAGGAGTCCTTTTGCATGTCATCCCCGCTCCACAGGTCAAGCATGAGCTCTCCCTCAACTCCTTTCATTTTGTCCCGGAGCTCTCAGAAGGCACTGGCAAGCAAGGCCGTATGTAAACCAGCATGAAGAATTAAAAATCCATTGCTCTCAATAACTTCTTGTTTTCAGAATTAGGCACATACATTCAACCTAGGCTAGCTATCAAGAAGTAGCGTGTGACCGAGGATTCCACAGACTTCACCATCTCTGAAGTTCCAATAAAGAAAATAGTTGTATTTATCCTAACTAATGGAACAATTAAATTTATATAGGTCCAGTCCTTAGAAGAATTGGAGGTGACTAAAACAAGGAACAAAAGTAATTCAGTATTTCTATTTCTAATTATTGTTCATCTTTTTTCACCATTCAACTACATTTTGGGCATTTTTGTGTGCCCACTAAATGAAAACGATGTGAAATATCAAATCTTTAGATTACTCCTACGAAACATCAACTGGATCCTAGCTGCTGGATAAATTCCTGCCATTAAGATGTATGTTAGAGCTGGTATGGTGGTCTCAGACCTGCAATTCCAGCATTCCCGAGGGTGAAGCAAGATTTCTGACAGAGTTCGAGGCCAGACTGAGCTACATGGTGAATTCAAAGCCAGCTTGGACTACAAACGACAAGACCCCGTCTCAAAAACTTTTGTACTAGCGCTAACAGCCCATTTATAAATGAAAACAGATACTAGACGAGAAAACTATCCCAAAGGATCTTCCTCACCGATCCTTCATATATATGCTGCAGTCAGCTGGCCACAAAAAACAACCATTTCCTCATCTTTGTAAGATGTTTGACTTTATACATATGGCTAGAAGATTCTTGTTAAGATTATAAATTCATCTTGAATTTCTATATATTTCATAAAATTTTCATTTTTCCCTTTGAGATTAAAAAGGAGCTTTAGCATGGCATTCTTAGTTTAGAAAAAAGCAAAGAAAAATCCAAAGCTCCTCATGCTGAATCTTCTCACTACTACTAAGATTCAAGTTTTACTGTCCCCTCAATTACAGTTAAAAGAAAAAACTGAAACACTGAAATATATTATGTTTTCCACACCTCTATTACTATAGTATTGATTTAAATAGTGTATCATCATTTAAAGATTTCTCCAAGAAATCATATTAAGATTTTTTCTATCATCTTACCAAATTCAGAAGACAAATTCTCACAGGCTCAAAATGTTATCAAACTGACAATCTTGATAAAATAGGTAAGCTCCGCGCCAGCAACAGTTTAACAGAACTGGCATTCCAAGAGCCAGCAGCAGTGGTGTACTTTGGTAATTCCATCTACTCAAGAAGATGAGACAAGAGTTCACAAATTCAAGTCATCCTAGGCAACTTCGTGAGATCCTGCCTCAAAAAAGGGTTGGGGATATAACTCAATAGAGCCCTTGCCTAGCAGCACAAGCTCCTGGGTTGGTTTTCCCAGTACTGTAAAAGAAAAAAGCATTCCAATCAACCATCAGTTCAGAATAATACCTAACATTCTTACCAAGATCTTAACACAAACTGCAGGCAGCACCGTCAACACCTTACATACTTCCATTTTACTGTTTAAAACTCCATTTCCGCTGTGTAGATGAAGAAGTTTGGCTAATGAAAGGTTAAATCATTTGCCTTAGGTTACTAGGTAATGACAGCAACCACAGGATGTGAACTCTGGAAATATAACTTAAGAACCTGCATTCAGAAATAGTAGGCTACACTGTACCAGTATTTGATCATCAACACACATACACACACACACACACACACACACACAAAGGCAGGACAATGGAAAAAAAGCAGAGGTATAAAGAAAGCCCATGTAGCAACTCTTGAGAACTTTCCCTGTCTTGACAATTATTAAGTGCCTCTTTAGATTTTATTAATCCTTCTTTTTTTAATCCTTTAATTCTGTTTCTCTACAATAGTTACAGCAAACTCTATCACCTAACCAATTTAGAATTGTGTCTCCAGATCAGACACTGACACTGAAACACCTCACACAATTTCTACAGTATTTTCTGTCTGAACCTCCAGATCAGATAAAAAGTCACTGCCACAGGCCCTCTTTGTACCCAGAAATAGTAAGACACATTTCCTCAACCGCTTAATCTCGTATAACATTTACACAAGGCCAAAGGGAAAGAAAAGCAACTCAGATCAACAGTTAAATGCTAAAGGTAGATAAAATGTGATGATCACTGAAAAGTACCTTTTGGGGTACAGACCAAGACAGCTATGAAGGCTAGTAGCACAGCACAAGGGACACAAGAAAATGAATGGAAAATGAGGAAGCAGATACAGGGAGAGCCTGGGCTATAAAAGAAACCACAGGTCAGAGGAGGGGCAGCTTCTGATGGACTGACTGTCCCAGACAGTAGCCCAAATCTATCTTTATATAAATCAGATACTTAAGTTCCTCTAAACAGCAGTTTTAAAACTTTGTGGTCTCAAGATCCCATTTTACTATTAAAAATCACTGCGGACCCTCAAAGCTTTTGTTCATGTGAGCTATTGACAGTTTTGTTTATGTGGGTAGAGCCTGTTCTCAGCTTAATCATCATTCAACTCACAAGTTTCTGACTGTATGATGCTGATACATTCAATTGAAACTACTCTGAGCTTTGAGCTTCTATCTTCTCCCAGACCAGAGCCCTTCTCATGATGCTGGGCAACAGAGAGCAGCAGTTCCAGGTCAGCCACATGATCCCTCAGGTAAACAGGTACACTCCACAGTGACAGTGTGCACAGTGACAGTATACTGTGTTGCTAAGGATCGATATTCTTTGGTAGGTTAAGTGTATCAAACACATTTTCAACCTATAATGGGTCTATCAGGATGCAAAGCCTGGCATGGCAACCCAACTCATAATCCTAACGCTACAGGAAAGTCAGGCAGAAGGATGGTAAATTCTGCAAACTTGAGATCAGTCTGGGCAACTTAACTGAGAAGATCTTGTCTCAAAAAAAAAAAAAAAATGCAGAGGTTAAAAAGGGCTGCAGATGATACATAGCTCAATACAATTCCTAGTATCACACACACAATTTTAGAATGTACCAATTCTCTTAAAATAATAAAAGCTCAATATGCTATGCAGCATAAAAGTAAAATTGTAATGACAATATCTTTTTCAAAATAAAAAACAGTGAGAAAAAAATCTTTAACTTTGCAAAGTAATCTGTAACTTAACAGAAGACACCTAGATGCTTCTCTTGCAATTCTGGATAAAGTTCATCAAGAAAATCATGCACTGATGGAAAAGGGAGGGTCTTAAGCCTTTTCTGGTAACTGTGAATATTCTTTGACACTACAAAAAGCTCCAACAAGTCACTATTATAATCTAACTCAGAAATTGTAGCGCTGAACTTTTTATACTACCACGTTAAACTCATGGATGTATCTTGGTCTTTAAACAGATTTTTTTTTTACCAAGACTTCATCTCTTAATATCACATATTCCTCATTTGGAAAATTGGTAAAATGAGTTATGCAGCTCTCCCAAACATTAACCTATTTAATATATGTATCCCAGATTTGTAAACCTTTACACTCATCCAAGTCTTTACTACGAAGCAGCAAATCTGAAAGTCAACCAATGACAATTTTTCAAAATTCTACAATTTCCATCCGGAAAGCCTGAATTTTACTTGGGGGCACAAATGTTATCAGTTGAGTTTTGTTTTTTAAGTGACAGGTTCAATTGATTCAATTTCCAAATCAGCAAACTTATGTAAAATGCATGCTATGAGCCAGAACACAGTTGTTAATCGCCTAAAAAAATTCCTCCAGAGAGGTCTCAACTGCATGAGAACTTCACAAAGGTAAAATGTAAAGTGGACAGAGGGAAATGTCTCATTTCCCTATAGCCAAACAAAGAGTTTGGATAGATAAGCTTTAAACTCTCCAGATGACACTAGCTTCAGTATGATTCAACATTACAGGCAATTAAATGGTAAGTATATGGTCTTGGAAAATTATAAAGAAACCCAAAATGAAGTACAAAAATTAATCATATATTGAGGAAAGTATCTTTAAAAGTACAAAAAAGCTGACAATTAAACCAACATAAACAATACACAAAATATACACATCAATACCCTGGAGAGGAGCAGCATGGAAAAGCTGCTCTATAATCTGCGTTTACTGCAGTTAACTGGATCCAATCTTACTACCACGGACAGACAATTTGCACTGCAGTTCCAGGCTAACGTGGCAGAGGGAGGGATTTGGGTTGTGTTTTTCCAAATTAGAAGTATCCTCCCTTCTAAGGAAATACATCAAAAAATCAACAGTTAAAGAAACCACACCTAATTTGATTCAGGGAGTGGAGAGAGAAAGAGAATAAGCATAGTGTTTAGATGTTTTAAAAAAACAAAAGAAGAAAAGAATTAAGTCCATGGTGAAATTTTTAAACACAGTGCTATCAAACCAGGCTCAAACGAAAGGGAAGCAGAGATTGCAAAGTGCCAGTATTTACAGAATTTGCGGCAGTTACACTCCAATGAATTATTTCCGAGACAGGGTTCCACCCTCCATAGCAAGGGTAAATGATTGCATCAGGCGCCAGTGCAGGAGAAACCCGTTTGGTGTTCACTACGAGTCGGTTCTGGATTCCCCGGGTCCTACTGCAGGTTTCTGGCGCTACCTCACTAAATGTGAGAATCACCTGAAACACTTTCCTTGTTCTCTCTACAATAAGATATCCATGCTGAGCTCTTAGAAAAACAGGCCTATAAAAAATCATCAGGAAGCCTCTCCTTCCGCAAAATCCAACTTCAAAATGTTCCATAATCAGGATGACTTCACCGAGTAACTCAGCACATTTACAGTTTGCCAGGTTTAAGAACTGAAAGCTCACTCGTCCCAGATGGCCTTTTCAGAAGCCAGAAAAGATGACAGAAGCTAAGGATAATGACTTCGCAACCTTATAAGAAAAAAAAAGTTCGACACCTTCCCAAACCCACGTTTCAACTTTTTTTTCCAGTCGATCATGCGGTTAACAAAGCACTGAAGGGAAGATGAAACGAGCAAACATCATTCTAAGCATCCTAAAGATGAAAGCGTCTGACCTTCAGACAAGAGAACTGGCTCATCAGTAACCGGGGTCAGAATTGAGAACCTGACCACCCAGGGTGCACAAAAAGCACAGCAGAGCCTGGGAAACCCAAGTTAAGGTTATGGAGTGAGGGCACGAGGGCACATCCCGGACCCGGAACGCGGACCGGGAACTGAGGATTGGGAGGGGACAGATCAGGAGGGGACTCTGTCCCGCCCGGACGAGGGAGTCATCATCAAACAGGGGAGGACGCGGGTCCGCCGATGGAAGGTGGCCGACCAGGGGACTTGGGTCAAAGCAGGGATGAAGGAAGTGGGATGCCGGGGAGGATGAGCAGCGCAGCCGCGGAACGAAGGCGGGCGCGCGTTGGACGCGAGGCGCCGGTACCTGCTGGCGCACGGCGAGCCTGAGAGGTGCCAGCACCTCCTCTGCCCCGGCGCCGTCCATGCTGCTCCGAGAGGCGGCGGCTGGGACGGAGGTCGGGGCGCGGGCGGGCGCGCTGAGGGGCCGGCGGAGCGCGAGCGAGGGCCGGGCCGGGAGCCGGGGCGGCAGCGACAGCAGCAGCAGCGCGGTGCGGGTGGCCCTAAGCAGCACCGGGCACGGAGAGGGCATGAGCCGGCGGCCCAGGGCGGTCCGGAGGGAGGGGACGGCGGAAGCGGCGCGCGGAGCCCGGCCCCAACATGATGAAATCGCCGCGTAAACGCCGCGGCGCGCGCGCAGCCGCACTTTCCCCACCGCGCCGCTGCGTGGTTTCCGGCGGCTGATTCGACACCAAACCCGGAAGCGGCAGGCGCGCTTTCATCTCTTAGGGGCTGCGAGCTGTGTGTCTGCTCCGGAGGGTCTCCTTCTACCTGGTAACGTAGCCGTTCAGTGCACGGCAATTTTCTGGGACCTGTGGACCCAGTCGCCCCAGAGTCTTCAAAGCACAAGCGTGGTCCTCGGCTGACCCTCCTGAACGCTCGCCTGTGTCTCTGTGCCCCCTGCGCCTCAGAAGGATTTGTAAACCTTACATGAGATAGCGACTTGGATTGAAGTTTCCTCAAGCTCAGACATTCCTTGATTGTTACCAGAACTAAGGTCGTGGCTGTTTGCCCCCATGACATAGTACATACATAATAATCCGAAAAACAAGGAATGGAGACCAGGAAAGTGACTTTATTTGAAGAGACCGCTCAAAGAGATGATAGGGGACTCCTGCTACAAAACCCTTGTAGCCGCAAAGCTGGTGTAGAGGTCTTTGATAAGTGTTCCCAGACTGGTGGGTACTCTTTCACAGTCAGTGGACCAGAAGTCTGATCCCAATGGCTTTGTCAATTCTGCAGTTGCCAAGCTTAAAAATCATTATTTCCTTGGACTATTTTGTCAGCGATGGTTGTACATTACACAATGGATAGGCTAGAGGATGGAGGTAGCTGCCCCCAGACTCTGCTGTAGATTGCCAGACTACCTGTAATGAACACTCCCTGTAGTGAATGGAACCATCCTTAATGTTCAGTTTCAAGATGAAGAAATAGGCCCCCAGAAGTCACTGGTTTGCCCAGTTCACATCACAATCTGTGGCCCTCCAGTGGCAGGACAAAGATGAAGGAAGAAAGAGTGAAGCATTAGTCAAACTGAAGAAAACCCTACTTGCTTTTAGAGATTTGCTCTTCTCAACAATTTTAAGTTATTTTTCAAGAATTAGAAGGTTGCTCAGACCAGTGGAAACCAGCAGCCCTTCACTTGGGCCTGCACAAGTAAAACAGTAGAGAATGGTTTGATACTCCCCAACAGGTACTTTGTGTTCTTCGGTGGCTGCCCCCAAGTGCCTTAGAACCAGCCAGCTTATGTTACACACCCCTTGGCCACGCTGCGAGATACTTCTTTGGCTGCAGCATGATTGCAAGTGGCCTGTGTGGGGTAAGGCTACCCAGCAGCCTCTGGATGACTGCCCCTCTGCAGACATCCTCAGGTCTTCCAAGGGCCACTTTTCCTACCTAAAGTCAAACAGAAAGTCTGGCCCTGCTCATGCTCAGGCTTGCTTTTTTTATAAGCAACCTTCCCACTCAGTTGGCCCAGCCCATGAATTGCTCCCCCTTATGCTGCGGCATAAGTCCTAATAAAGCCTCTTCTGAATAGCATATTCTTGCCTTCTCATGAACATTCTGTTCTATCTCCACTAGAGCAGGCTGAGTGAAGACACTAAAAGCTGGTAACATGAAGGTCTCCTTTAGAGGGCTCAGAAGAGGGTAGACAATATCCCATTTGTCAGCAGGCTCAAGAACAAGCTCACATCTGATTTCCATCTTGAAGCTAAGAACCTATATTAGTCAGTGACACAACTGTGCAGTGGGTGACGTTTTGACATCTGAGGAGAGCCAGAAACTCCACCTTTATGGTCTGTTAATGCCACCATTTATTAACATGTATCCTGTGAAGAGCAATGAGTTTCGATTATACAGACAGACCACTGATTACTTCACTTTTCTTTTTTTTTTAATTTTATTTAAGGAGAAAAAGACAAAAAGCAGAGAAAGGGTACAAGTTATACAGATTTACAGAAAAAAATAAACAGTAGGAAATCACTAGTTAATGGATTACATATTGTCATCTTAGAAATAATTGTTCAAGTTACAAAATTAAAGCTTATAAAGTGGACATTCGAACAGTGAGACTGCAAACAGTTCTGTTCAATGATCCAACAAAACTCAGTAATATCATTATCTATCTTATACACTTAAATATACATGCAGTTATATCATTTAGAGCACTTTCTTTTCCTCTCTTTTGTACAATGACAATTACACATTTTGGGTTTTGTTGCTCCCACAGTTCTTACTACTTTTTTGGAAGAGAGTAGAACCAAATGTGACATAACAGAACAGAGTCAGTCAAACCAAAAGCGTGGACATAATAGATAATGTAAAAGCATAATACAAGGTGATCAACAATGGTTACCATAATGCCTCCCGCTATCTCTAATAGAATTGCCTATATCATCAGTTATAATAAAATTTAACAAAACAGTAAAGAACAAAACCAACACATTGGAGACATTATAGGTCTTCAAAAGTAGATAATAGTCAACCAGAATGGGCGTCATAATGAATCCCACTATCTTCACAGCTGTTGCCTAAACTTTCGAACCTGGTACTATCAAGCAAAACAGAATAGAGGGACATCAGTCAAAACAAGATGGTGAGAGCAATACAGGGCTTTAAATCAAGATAATGGAAAGTCAAAGTGGGTTACTATATAATATCCTGCTTTTTTAAATTTATTTTTCCCTTAATTAAAAAGATAAATAAAATAAAAAAGTAAATACTAAAATGGAGATTGAGATAAAAGAGGGCATAACAGCAAAACAGCACAGATCAAAACATAACCATTTAAGCAAAATAGTGTTTCACCACAAGATAATCCCAACATAAAAGTAGTTACCATATTGTCTCTTTCCTTAAAATCTTTAAGTATAACTCCATATACTGTAGCATCAAATATATCAAAACAATGTAAAACCATTTAAGAGAATGACAGTATTACAGGGTATTTAGAATCAACTAACAGAAAATGAACAATGGTTTCTGTATAATCTCCTTGTCTATAAAAGTTTTTGCTTATACTATCATATATAATAAAATCCAATAAGATACAACCTGTTTAGACCAATGGAGACAGAAGAACAAAAGCTTGATGAGACTTCAAAACAAGATGATACTAAATCAGTATTACCCCTTAAGACGTCATTTTCTCCAAAATAGCTGTTCCTATCATCCAATCTTCTCTGCCTCATTTCTGTTGAGCTCTTTTTCTGTCATCAGTTGTTAGTTTGTCTTCTTCATTTTGTTTTCTGCTCCATTCATTGTGGCCTCTCTGCCACTATTTCTGGATTCTTCGTATTTTTCTTTTTTAGAATATCCTGCAGTATTCTCTGTAGAGTTGAATTGTGGTTGCATATTCCCCTAGTTCCTCTTTATCCTGGAAGCACCTTGTTTTTCCATCAAGTTCCAGGAATAGTTGTGCAGGATATATCAATCTTGGCTGAAGATTATTATCTTTCAAAGCTTGAATTATTTCCCCCCACGCTCTTCGTGATTTGATGGTTTGTGCCCAGAAGTCTGCTGTAATTCTGATGGGCGTTCCCTTGTAAGTGATCTGTTTCTTGTCTCTGACGGCTTTTAGTATTCTGTTCTTGTATTGGATTTCTGGAATTTTAATTATTATATGCCTGGGTGTAGCTCTGTTTGGGTTGTAGGTGGCTGGGATCCTGTATGCTTTATACAACTGAGTATCTTTACCTTTTGCTAAATTAGGAAAATTCTCCTGGATTATTTCTGTGAATAGCTTTTGTAGTTCATTTGTTTGTGTCCCTACTTCTTCTTTTATGTTCTTAATTCTTAAATTATAGATCCTCTTATCATCTTCTAGTCTTTGTATTATTGCTGTTTGTTTCTTTGTTATTTTTAAGAAGTTTTTCATTTCATGCTCCCATATTACAAATCTGCCCTCCTGTTCAGATAATCTGTCCTTAGTTTCTTTCAAGCTGTTATGCCAGTTTTCGATAGAGTTTTTAGTTCCCTGGTAATCTCTTTGAACCTGCTTCACAGATTCTATGCTTTCTCTATTTTCTCCATCAAACAATTCTCCCCTCTTTTTCTGTTCTTCTATTCCACCATCTGTTTTTTCTTGGGTGGTGCTTAGCATTTCTGTAACTATTCTGCTTATGTCTAGCTTCAGGTCATTAATAACTTCATTCCTGAACTTGTCTATTAGGCTCTGGAGATAGCACTTTATATCTATTGGTGCTGTGTCTGCTATTGCCTCTTTCTCAGGATTGGGGGCCGAGGACCCTTTCCTGTTGATGCCTTTTCCCATATTCTTTGTTCCTTATATATGTGTAAGCATATATAGGAGGCCCAGCTTCCTTCCCTGTCAGCCACAGTCTGATTGAATTGCGCTGGCTAGGTGTTCCCGCCCACTGAAGTGCACCACGAAGTTGCAGACCAGGCAGCCTATGCGGGGCCCGCCCCTCCAGGTCACCTTCAGGCGCTGGGACCTGGGCTGTGCTAGCCTACTGGGTCTCAGCCAACAGCATCACGTAGGCTAGGCACTGCTCACCAATCCTGCTTGAGAGGGGGATACGTGACTGAAGTCACTGCAGCGCCCTGTTCCCACAAGCCTGCCTGGTCCCAGAATGTCAGCTGTTGGAGTCTCCTAGACCATGGAAGAGTCCCAGTTTCTCTCACTCACCGCAGGTCAATGCACAGCTCCCTGCCTGTCCTGCTTTCAACTCCGTACACCGATTCCCGTTCTCAGAGCTTTCGCGCGTCTGTGTCCCTGCTGAGCTGATGTAGACGCAGCAGCAGTGGCAGGAAACCCAAATCACGGCTTCCAATGGCGTGGGCTCCAGCTTCCATACTGGGGCTTTTCTGTTCCTGTTATAGCACCAGGATTGCACCAGGAAACCAGTTGGTTTCTCTCAGCCCAGTTCGTTCTTGTGTCAGCAGGGAATATCTCCACTTGCTTATGATTCCTTACTCTGCACCATTCCTGAATTCTAAGCTGGGTCTTTCAGAGAGCCTCCGTAGCTGCTGCTATCTGTCCACCATGTTCTCCCGGAAGTCCCTACTTCACTTTTCCTTACCTCCAAACATTTCCTCACACTTCAAATCATTATCTCAGAAATTATCCCAAACTCTATCCTT